ACACTTCAGACATGCAGTATCTTTTATTTTCATTAGTAGACCTCTGTGGTCCACCAGCCACAGCCTGGTTCCAAAGGCAGATGATAAAATTAAAGAATATTTTTAACAAAACATAAGAAATAGACTTAATAAATAAAGAGGGGCAAGGAGCCCTGGGGAGCACCAGAAGAAGTATCTGCAGCCATATCACCTTAGTTTCCAGCCTAGCAAGCACTGCATTTGAGCTCCTCTTATTCATGCACATGGTGTCTCACGGCTTTCCTAGAACTTCTCATGGACAGAAGACTTAGATTTAGAGCGTTACCATGTTGGGGGACTGGGCTTGGAAGCACAAGTGCAGGCAGAATGTTTCATTTTTGTACACTTGGGTCTCCTTGTGCAATGCCAGGCCTGTGACAGCAAACTTGGGGAGGCCATGCCTGCATTACAAAATAAAGCACTTCCCCGGGTGCCAAGCTGAACAAAAATGCAACCTATCTTAAATGTATTATCATTTTTCCCCTCGTGGATTTGGTTATCTGACCCTTGCCACGTGTAACTTGTGCAGAGAAAGTTGAACCAGAAGTTGAGACATTAAGAACCAACCCTACAGACCCACACCTGCAGTTTCACCTATGGCAAAACGGTGTCTAGGAGATGGCCTTTGCGGGGGTGCACTTGGTGAGGATTCCTCATTTACAGAGAGAAGTGAAATGGTTTTGCCAAGTCTGCAGGAGGGCTGCCAGCAACAGTTGGATTTGGCAGGAAAGCTAAGTTTGGGATTTTTGGAGAGTGGATTGACAGTGGAACGGTGTTTATTGATAGACAGGGTGCTTGTTGTGTCTGCAGGCTGTGTTCTGTAAATGGCAGATAATTGCAAATAGGCACCTTTCTCTCAAGGATCCATAATGCCTGAAAGATTTCTCTGAATGTTATAATTCTCAGGGAAGGGGAGTACAAAGCAGTACTGTTAAGATGTGTGAACACTTGTGCCATAGGTTCTCTTGTCAGAGCTGCACAGTTGGTTAACTTCAAGTCTCTCAGTCAGCACAAATTACTGTCTTGCTTTTGTGCCTTGGTGTTTGTTCTGAAGCAAATTGATGTGTTATGCATCTACTTTTATGCAGTTAGTTGGCTAATTATTACTGTCAGCTGTGTTTTCCATCTAGAAGTGCCGTTCAGTTTGGGGATATCGTAACCAGGGCAACCTCCCATGGCCTCTGGCCATGATATTGATGGATCAATGTTAAATGAGGAAGTACAAATATCCACTCAAACTTGCTGCCATCATATACTTAACTGGAATATTTCATAACACTAGTCTTATGAAAGGGAACGTTACTTGTAAAAAAAAAACTGTCAGGGCTGGAAAAGGCAGATGGGATTGATCCGGTTGCTTAAGAGGCTACTGTAGTGCAAAGCAAGGACCATCAAGCAGGAGCCATTTTTGCTCTTGCCTAGAGATCTGTGTTCAGTTAGCCAAAATCAATCATGAGATAGTTGTAGCTGAAGCTAAATAGCTCCTCTGAGTGCTCATGGAAAGCCTTTCTTTTCTAATGCACAGCAGACCTGGAGTGGTGCAGGTGCCATTCCAGGCCCTTGTTTAATTTTAAGCTGCTTTAGTTGGCATGGCAACTGGTTGAGACATCTGGGAGACATTATGCTCAGGATTGAGGTTGAGGAGGATTTAGGTGGGAGAGCTAAACACGGAAGAAGTTCATACCATGATAAGGCGGGGTATTGGAATTGTTCTGGAAACTGTGTGTGTTTGTGGGAGGGAAAAAGGCCTTTTTAAAAGCTGTGCTGGGGCGGGGGGAATCTGTAAAAATGTGTGCTAGAGGTAGATGCGAAGGATGTTAGCGCAAGTGGACTTTGGCAATAGTGCCCTGTTTCCTGACTAAATTGTGTACATATTTCTGAAATGTCTCTGTAAGAGCTGACTTTGCCAAGATCTTGCAACATAGGAGAAGAACCTGGCTGGATCAAATCAAAGGCCTGTCTAGTGCAGCCTTCTGGCCAATTGGGTGCCTCTGACAAGACCACAGGCAAAAGGGCAGGAGTGGAGTAGTTCTCCCTTTGGTCTGCCTCAGAATGGCATTCAGAGGCATTTATTCTTCCTGCAGTCCTGAAAGCAGAAAATAGTCGTCATGACCAGCAAGCATTATTGGCATGGCATTTCTGATGCTGTGCCATAACGCATCAAGTGCAACTTTTTGCAAGTAGCAGTTGCATGCAAAAAATAAGGTGGGGAGAGGGTGGATGCCATATAAATTAAGACAGAACGGAGGAGATGTTGTGTGAGTTTAGTTTAGATTGTACCATGCTCTAAACAGATTTCAGTTTGTTCCAAAAGCCGTGCGTGTTATTTACTTTCCCGTTGGGAGAAAAACCCTGCATTTATTCAGTTTGGTCTCTACCAGCGATTGGACAACTTGTAAGGCATAGACTCTGCATACAGAATCTTTAAAGCAAGGGTGGGCAGTTTAGTTCAGCTATAAAGGTCACATGTGAAGCACAGCTGGTATTATGTCGGGGATAGCAGTCTGGGTTCAGATTTATCGAGACTGTTAGAATAAAAAATGGAGTGTAAGGCAGTGCTCCCCACTTAGCCAAAAACACTCCCCTCTGCTTAATATGCAACACTATTGTCCAGTTCAAATGAGTTCCCTGGGCTCGTGGGTTGAGAACTCTAAATTAAACACACACAGAGTTGTGTACCAAAAAGGTACACAACATAGATTTGCCTTCATGTCGTGTCATGTAGTGCAGATGCGTAGCATATTTGCATGAACTTGTCCAAGTCCGCTTCCATTCAATGCCCATGCTCTGTTACCTTATTTTCTAATAAAAGTTCCTGGATATCCTCTGCGGAGGCAGCGTAGAGGAACAACCGTGCTCAGATATGATTAATACCTACATCTCCATCGTTTGATGGCTTGCAGTTGAATGTGTGATCCATCTCCATGAAAAATATTTAATTCAAAGTATTGATTGAGCTTCGGGCTGCTTACAACAGGTAGGGTTAGAGTCCCCTGGCATAGTAAGTGCATGTTTTCAAGCACATGTGCTAGCTAAGCTATGTGAATTACGGAGCTGGAATTTGCCACAGGAATGATTTAATTATTGGAGAGGATATAAAGTGAGCAGTTCTGAAATGCTTTCTGAGTATTCTTTGGAATCCAGGTTTGCTTGGCCAGGCTCCAAAAATGTGTTCAGGGCAGGGCTTCTGACTCAGGCATCGTCCTAATTTTTTTTTCATGTTTTGCTCCTCCCTTGGAGTATTTATTTTCCAAACCCAGAGTTTATGTATATGCTAAGGTATCTTGTCTTCGATTTTATTGTAGCTTGTATGATCTGGGTCATTTAATAAGGAATGGATAGCCACCTGCATACCCTTTCTGTATGAGAGAAGGATGAAAGAATTTATGCCACTGTCAGCTTCAAGTGATTATAATTCCTAATTGCTTCAGAACCAAGGATGGAAGCGACTTCCAATTGTTCCATATGGAAGACAGTGTGTGGCTGTGAGATTCCCTAAGCTTCATCTGTAGTGGTTCAGTCTGCTTTCTCCTTGAAATAGTAGAACTAGGAATTAGGATATCACAAGGGAAGTACCTAAATCTTTCAGAGGAGTGGGTGTGTCTGTCTGTCTATCTAAACATATGTTTCCAGGGTGGTTAAGATGCAATAAAAGTACAGGTTTCTCAAATAGAAAATAATAAAATAGAGTTTACACAATCAAGTCAGATGTCAACAGTGTGTCCACATAGGTCATAACATCAGTACTGGTTTGTTAAAAACACTAACATGAGAAAAACAGACATGCTTTTGCCTGATGTTTAACTGATAGCACTGAGGAGAGCACCTGACAAATCTCTCCAAGGGCTGGCATTCAGAAGGCATGAAGACACTCTTGAACATCGCCTTTCCTTATGCTGCCCTCTGTACTTTGTGTGTTGCAGGGGGCAGGGGAGGACCGAGAGAAAGGCTTCTGATGACTGTCTCAACAGATGGGCTGGAGTGATGCCGAAGAAGGCAGTCCAACAGGCATTTAGACAACTAAGCCATGTAGGACTCTAAAGGTTAAGACCTTTAAAATCCAGAATTAGTTTCTTCCATCGTGCTGGCCCTGCCATGTTGTCACCACAGGTGCAACCTGTTACTTGAAAATCCAGTTCCGCTCCAGGCAGCATATCCTCTCACACTCTTTCTCAGCAACCGGGTGTGCTCACACATCAGAGCTCACCTGGCCATGGCACTGATCTGCGAGGTGGAGCCCTGAATAGCACCTGGCCCTCTCTTTCCGCATGCGCTTTAGTGCTCACAATGGTAATCTCATTCAGGCAGCTCCACAAGGATGGATGACTCAGGCAAACAGGTAGCACTACTTGACTGTTCTCAGGGTGCCTTTTCAAGTTGTGTTTCCACCCTAAGCATGCACGAGAGAAGCAGGCAAACTTCCTGTTAGGATTTCGGTTTCGCACACCCCATCTCTTTTCAAATACCTTTGTTGTTTCCTAAGGCTAATTTGCAACATCACCTTAAATGTCAGCAGAGCAGGGATGCTGGCTTAAAAAAATGGAGTCCTGTATCTCACTATCGAGCAGTTGCATTTTCTGTGAGTGTCTTTCTACCAATCAGCAGCTTTTGTCTTGTTTCTTCCATGGGATCCTGCTAATGTTAGAGAAATAAAACTGAAACTTGATCAGTGGGGGGAAATGTGGTGGATGCGTGCTTCTAAAATAAAGCAAGGATGCTGTACGGTCCTCCAAAACACTGAGGAATATACCATATGGTCTCTAAACAGAAAAACTGGCTTGAAGCTGACGAGTAAGAGGTGGTGGTAAAAATGGAAACAGTCATTACCAACTGCTTAGGCCTTGGTTAAAAAAATCTAAACTCATGAGAAGAGGCAGCTCTTGGGATATTTCTTGCACCGAATTAAGTAAAACTACGCAGGAGCTTAAATTATCTGATGAAATTATCTCAGCCTGTACTTTCCTTAATGACTGCAATTGAAGATATGTTGTTACAGAACTGATGCAAAGTGACCTCCATAAGATTATTGTCTCTCCTCAACCACTCAGCTCGGATCATGTCAAAGTTTTTCTTTACCAGATTTTAAGAGGTAACTCAATTTGCTCCGGTTCCCCCTTCCCCATTGCAACATGTAAACTCATTTCTTCATTGTCAACCACCTATTGTGGACCCAGCCAACTCAATGCACAAACTCAGTTGTAAAAGTATTGCTAAGTTATGTGTATGTGTGCAGATACATTGTTCATTGTTTTTAATTGTATGTTGTGAGCCGTCCCGAGATGCCAAGGCATGTGGTGACAGCATATAAAAGCTTTAAATGCATAAATACGAGAATAGAGCAAGACTGAAACTGAAGAGACAGTATATGAGTTAAAAGGATGATCTAGAAGGAAGCTAGAAGATCTAAATACCCTTGGCAGTTTGTAAAGTGTCATTTTTATGTTTTATCAATATTAGTCTCTTGATGTTAAATTTGGTTAAAGAATTAAAATAGATTTCATTTGAATTTTAGTTGAGCTTGAAATGGTTTTTTTTTTTTAAGTCAAACTGCACTTGGAAAAACAAACCAAGACTTTAGAATTCAGAGGAAAAATAATCCTGAATCCATCTCCAGGCATGATGAATTAGGATCAAAAGATTGCCAAAAACATTATGCCTGGACATACAAAGAATTTGGTTTCAGCTTGCAGCACTATGTGTGCTTCTAAAGCTGTCAAGGTATTTAAATGTTTATTTAGTTTCTATACCACTCAACAGCAGAGGATTTCTGGGCGATTCTGAAAGCTAGAGTTGGTCTAGCAAGACATGGCTGGGCAGACTTTGGGCTTATGGAATCTTTTTTCTTCCCCACTGGAACCCAGAAGCCCACCAGTCAGAGCCATGTGCAAATTGTTTGAGGGGTGTCATAGCTGCATCCCATATGCTGTGTGCTGTATATCCAAAAACAAAGCCACATCTGAATTACTATAAAACATGGGTTCTAATATGAACATGATTGGTAGGGCTGTATTTAGGCCTGTTTCAAAGCAAGGATTAATCTTCCCATTTTATATAGGCGAGGAACATTGATGCTATGAAATGAGTGATTAGCATAAGTTCAGCCCTTCAGCAACGAAAAAAGGAGGATTTTACTTGTTATCTTTAGATAATTGGACAGGCGAAACTGTTGCCCTTCTGCTGCAGTTCACCCCAGAGATCTGCTTATCACCTTCTTCTGCAATAAGGGACCCTTTTGGCCTGTCCTTTTATGTGGTCAGTCAGATAGCAGCACCTTGGTGTGTGTCATACACACAGGACAACTTGATGCTTATCAAAGGCCTTCAGAAAAAGCTGAGGGTGGATTACAAAACTTGACCTAAGTAAAAAGCTGATGTGAAGAGATCAGCTGCCTTCCTCAGTAGCTACTTTCTTTTCGACATGGGTTGCAGACCATAATAGAGTATTCCAAGCATTTGTGGACTTGGAAAAACACTAGCTAGTGAGTGTCTGTGTTTTCAACACCCTGTTCCATATCTCCTTATAAGTGCTTTATCAAATGGCAGTGTACCAAGAAGAGCATCTCTGCATTCAGAATTTTGCAATAGGACTTCAAGGACCACTCACCATCACATGACGAGGCACTGTGAATACGATGCGTAAAGTTCTAGCTCCTACCCCATGCTAGGCATGAAAAGATTTGGATGCCTTTTCAAGATCAGGTGTAATTGTTGTTGTGTATTGCATCCTTTTAAAAGATTCCTCATTTTGATTTTTGTTTTGCTTCATTGCAGGTCTGAAATACCTACATTCGGCTGGTATTTTGCATCGAGACATTAAACCAGGGAACCTACTTGTGAATAGCAACTGTGTTCTTAAGGTGTCTTTTTCACACATACGTAAAATATATTGCATGTGCAAAAGCCCAAAATCGTTTTGCAGTTTTGGGGGTGGAGGGGGACCTAATTAGAGGATCCGTGTGCAGGAAGGAGATGCCCTTGTTTCCAAAGGGCCTCTTCCAAAAGGATGGGTTCAACACACTGCTCTATGCGTGTTCAGAGATTCATTCTGGGTGATTGAGCTTTTGGAAAATGCTTTGGTTGATAAAGAATTTATTGCAAGAAAGGTCTGCGGCTTTGAATGTGCGAAGAGAGGGAACCTAGGTTAGGACACACTGTGACATTTGGCTTTCCCTCATGGTGCACTTGAATCTGCTTCAAAGGTGGGTGTATGTGCCTTCATTGCACTCCTTTCTGATTGCAGGCTACAATCAGAATTTTACTAGATTAGAAAGACCCCCCCCCTTTTTTGCTGATAAAATATTGATCGTTATTTTTGAATGTTAACTTCTCCAGAATTTTGACAAAAGGAATACAGTAGCATTAATGAACTGATGTAAAGGTTTTTGAATAGCTTACTAAAATGTGGCATTTGAAAGAATGCCCACGTTCAGGTAGACAAGATAGAAATGACAGATAATATTTTTCATGGGAAAAACTAATCTTAATTGCACAAAAAACTCCTTCATGAGTAAGACAAGGAAAATTGAACTGTGCCTCATTACAAGGAAGACTTGCAAAGCAATATGAATTCATAGAAACAGAGTGAGCCAGAAGGGGTCTCCCGGCCCATCTCGTCTTGACCTCTGGCTGCAGCCAGTTCCACTCGTGACATGCCTATCATGTGCATGTCTAGTCTATCCTTGAACACCCTCACCAATGGGACTTCAACCACCTCCCATGGAAGCCCTTTCCATACCCAATAATTCCCATATATTGGGAAGATACTACCTGGAGTGAATATAGCTGCCTGTTGAGTTTGAAAGCTTGCTGCCCTTCAAAAAGCACTGGTTTCATGAAAGGCATTTACCAAAATACCCTGCATGTGGTGGGTGTGTGGATCACATCTGCAAGTATCCTTTATAGTTCACAATTGCTCTGTATTCTAGTGTATTCAAGTGATCCCTTCTTCCCTTTCACAGTAGAGGGTGGGAAGTCTTGCAAAATCTTAGCAACCTGCATAAATTTTCACACATATATATGTCTGGGACACACCTGTGATATGCTGAGCAAAAACAATCTCGAGACTTTGGTCCACACCACATATTCCTGGGAAGGGTAATTGAGCCACGAGACTATCCCCAATGCACCCACTGTCCCTTTCTCTATATAATTGTACCAATGTTTGCCGCATTTCTTTTTCGCCTCCCAGATCTGTGATTTTGGCTTGGCCAGAGTCGAAGAATTAGATGAATCTCGTCACATGACTCAGGAAGTTGTCACTCAGTATTATCGAGCACCAGAAATCCTGATGGGCAGCCGTCACTACAGCAGTGCTATCGACGTCTGGTCTGTAGGCTGCATCTTTGCAGAACTCCTAGGGCGAAGAATACTGTTTCAGGCACAAAGTCCTATTCAGCAGGTATGAAGTCGCTTCACTTACAACACCGTAGATCAGCGATTGGTAACAAGCTCTCTGCCTCCTCCAGTCGGTCGAATTCACTGTGCCGAATTCTGGCCATTCCAAAAGCCTTGACAGTCCCCTAGGGAGTAGTTACTTATCGGGATGAGATAGTGTTTTCAGGAATGTCTTGAGGTTGCTTATGTTTTGCAGCCAGCTCTCCCTGTCTCGAGCAAGGAGAAATGCCCCTGCTTCTCTTTGGACTGCAAAGTGGACAAGCTCAAAGCAGCCAGCTGTTGCCTAAAGATCTACCCCTTTTTACGTGTTTAAGGTTTAGGCAGCATTTAATTGGATATTCTTCCAAAAATGTGTAAGCCATATATTTTTATGGTGGCTGACACTGTGTGCACGTGTGTGTGTATGTGTATGTGGGGGGGCATGTCTTGTGTGTTCTTTGCATTTAACTGTTTATGAGAGAGCTATTATCAGTTGAAAGCCAGGGTATAAATGTTTTATATGAATAAAGATCCTTGGGTGAGAGTTGAATCGTTACTCTAGGCACGTGGACCATGGCGTTTGGGGCTGCAATCTGTGACCCTCATGGGCCCCTGCCTCTTGCTTGGGGACCACAAGGCTGCTCCTTGCTTATCTGATTCATACTCCCGGCAACTTTGGGAGGTAGCTCGTCATCCTTCCTGTATGGCAGATGGGGAGCGGAGGTTGAGAGAGAAGCTTGCCCAAGGCCGCCTATATTGTCCGGGAATTATGAGGACAAATGTGGGTGGTTAATCATGAGCATACTTGAAGTGCTTTTAAAAATGATTAGTAAGAAAAGGGAAATGCTGTTCTGGTTTGGATGAATACTGTTAGTGTCACAATATTCCGGTGGCTGCTCTGTTAAGTGTGCTTGTTTTCGCTACAACTCATCATCTGAAGAGCTTAAGTGATGTTGTGGCAATTTGCTGGGGATTAAAACCAAGCAAACTCAGTCTAATCAAGAACAGTTTTCGCTAAACCAGGGGCAAAAGACCATGCTTTAGCTACATAAAACTTTTTTAAGATTTAGCAAGATGTTTTTCTGATCAAGAAAGTAATGATTAAGATTGCTTTAGGATTTCAAAAGACCTTTCAGTTTTTAGTCTTTGCTTACTGCTGGCTTTGCATATCTGTAATTGCACGTGTCTCTCCCACCATGGCCTCCCTGCAACAGACCCCTCAAAACAGTATTTTTCTGAAGGGTGCTTTGGGTCCCTAGCAGATGTATTGGCCCCTTCTCAAGACCGCCGTCGTCAGGATTCTCTGGCTACCTCAAGCAGGGGTGCCTGCAGAGCCTGAGGACTGAGCTCAGTGTGTGGTTGCCTCCCAGGTACAATGCTCTTCAGAGGCATTTCTCCGCTATCCCTGCCTCCTGAGGTGAGACAGATAGCTACTGCAGAAGGACCTTCCCCATGGCCTGCCCAGACTGTGGAATCACCTCTGTGGACGAGGTCTCTCAGTGCCATCTCTGAGACACCATCGAAGCCTGTCACATTCCCTTATGCTCTAAATAGTGCTTAATCTCCTTTTGCAGGTTATAGATAGCCATTTTAATTTTAATCTATTCTTGTGGGGGGTGTATTTTGTTGCATCTGTACTGATGCATTTTACTGTAGGTCGCCTTGAGGCGTTTGTGTCAAAAACCTGCATACCGCATGCATAAATAAATGTGCACACTTTCCCAGTTTCAAAAATACCAGAAAGTATGGGATAAGAGTGAGTAACCTAATCCTGCAAAGGGGTGTGAATGTTCTTGCAGTATCTTGAAATAGGGGGTGTTCTTTTCCATCTCCGCAGTTGGATTTGATCACAGATCTTCTGGGAACACCGTCACTGGAAGCAATGAGGACGGCTTGTGAAGGCGCCAAGGCACACATACTCAGGGGTCCTCATAAACAGGTACGATGAAAGGGAGCCCCTCCGAATTCTTAACAATCCTGGCTCAGGAACTAGGTTATGGGGTACCCCGTCCAGTCACATTTCATGCTCTTGTGCTTAAAGGCTTGAAAGCCTGAAACATCATCTTTGCCACCTTGGAAGCAGGGTCCACTTTATACAGAAAGGGTCCTGATGTGACGTTGGACCAGTCACTGACTCAGCTTGACCCTTCCTCCCAGGGCTGTTGTGAGGATAAAGCCGAGAGGAGGAGGGAGATAATGCGAGCCACCTTGTGCTCCTCACAAGAGGAAAAATGGCACGATATACCTGTAGTGATACGGCTGCGTAGTTGCCAAGGCATTGCATTAGGTGGTGATGATGATGATGATACAATACAATAAGAACAGTTACTATTAAACAAAATAATGATTAAATCTTGCCCTTTTTCCAGGATGGAAGGTTCCCGGGAGCTCTCCCATTGAGTTACTGACAAAACCTACTTAGCATCAGCAAGGTTGCCTGCCAGGGATGCTCTGGGCATCTTCTCTTACACACAGCTTGGCACATCTCTGATTCAACTCATTTGCACAACTCCAGTTTCTAATCTGGAGAATCATGTCATCTCATAGGTGCCTTCAGTGCTGTGGTTCTTCACTGTTTGACCCTTCTACAGGTAGGGCCATTTTAAACCACAGACAGGGGGCTTTGCTGACACCAGCCACGATGCCAAAACATTTTGCATTAAAAACAGGGCATGTCAGGTTGGCTGTTGTGGTAACCTTTGTTGGAGAGACCCGGCTGGGCTGGACGGCCTGAGGCAACCGCGTGGTTGCAGGACTAGCAAGCCAAGCAAACAGAAAAAGTTCCGTGTTCTCGCAGATTGATGAAGAATAACACTTAGCCTAAATTAGAGTAAATACAATCCAATTACTTAAACAAGCCGCTTAACCTCAATTTATTTGGCCATCTGTATCTTGGTTATTGCAGCAGAAGATACAACAAAATTAAATAAAATGCTTCAAGACTACATGCTTGACATTCTCATCTGAATAACGGTGTCTGTCTTGCTTGAGATACGTGTTTCTAACCTCAGCAGAGAAAGTTGCTTGCATGACTGATTCTGGAAAGTGTGAACCTGGAAATTAAACCTTCTCTTGCCCAATAACAGCCCGTGTCCACTTTAAAAAAAAATCATTTCACAAAATGATGAAGGGCATTTCCAGCAATGAGTTTAGAAACTGTGCCGACAAAGCAATATCCTGTTTGGGTATTTTAGTGCTGAAAGAGAGAATTGCATGCTGTTAATTTCTCTCTGAAATCCTGGTGTGACTTGACTACGTATGCGGAGCTGTGCCTTTGTTTACACAGAACCATAAATAATATAGCTGGGGAACTGTTTGTTAAATTAAACCTTCTGAAGAAAAGTGGTGGGAGGACCCTTTGTAGATGAAGTCTCAACATTTTCTTTGGCTAATATAGAAGCATGGATCGATTTTAGCTTATGGAATTACAGTTAAGGAGGCAAGGAATGGGAGATGGGGGTGGGGGGAAGGAAACTTAGGTTTTTCAGAATGCCTTTGTTTCAAGGTGTTCCTTAATCCCCTTATACAAGCAGGTTGGATTTGTAGTTCCTGGGATCCGAGGCATTCTAGCTCAGGAAGAGACTGCATGCTTTGCATGTGAACTGAACCAGGTTCAGCTTTCGGTATGACCAGTGAAAAAGTTCCCTAGTCACATACCTGCAAAAACCCTGAGATGTTGAGCAGCCATTCCAAGTTCGGACTTCCTGGATGTCCCAGTTGTCTGACTTGAGATCGAAAAGTCTCATGAGGAGGGAGGCCTGCTTTAGAAGAACTCAAATAGTCAAGATCATGTGGTGGTTTTCCTGCGAGAATCCTTGCAGAGAGTCTCTCTTTTTTTCTGGAAAACAGAGAAGCAGTCTGTGCCAATTGTGAGAACACTTGCACAGGGAGCATCCCCTGAACCTTCCATGCATCTTGCCAGGTTTTGCAAAGCTATTGTAGCATCTAACCTTTTTCTATTAATACTGTCCCATAAATAGAGATGTACATGCTTGATTGCTTAGTTATATTTCAGGCTGAGAACGTGTTAGTCCTTGGTTGGCATATAGCATATTCCTCCCACGTATCAATAACAATTAATCATCTGCCATTAATAGGAAAGCAGTTATATAATCTGTTTTCCCTGCTCATAATAGTTTTTTCCAACACCTGTACAAGCAATGCTTTCTGCAACAGCTTTGCCTTTTGAAATTGCATAGAAAAGCAGGTTTTTTTTCAAGTGTCATGCTAAGGAAGTGATCACATAGGAAGTGCTGGAGAACAAACACTATCTAAGTCCGAAGCTTAGACTGGGTGTTTTTTTCCCTATAGAATTGGCAGCATTTTATATTTGCATAAAGAGGTTGGGGCTATTTTTGTCTATGGAAATTAGTTTAATTTTAGAGCTCCTTGCCCCCCTCCTGATTCTAATTTAAGGCTCGCTCAGGCATGCCTATGCTGCAATTCCTCTGCATGTTTACTCAGGAGTAAACCCTATTGAATTCAGCAGGGACTTCAAAGCACACGGTGACCGAGCACAAAATGCTGCATGAGTTGTTGCTCGACTGCATTGGAGAGCCATTGGGGTGTGGGGCCAAGCAGCCGGAAGGGGAGATTGGGCCAGCGGCTCTTCCCCACCATCACCTCCTCCGGTGGGAGGGCCCTGCTCTGCTCTGCTTCCTCAGCCACTGGCAGTACATGGCTGAAACATTTTTGTTGCTTGGGAAAATCGCTGTACAATCTCTCCAGCGGTCATTAAAATATTGACTGCGGCGTGTACGCATGGGGGTGTAGGATGGAAGCTGTAGCAGGTGGCTCTAATTAAAAATTACACCGAAGGGGCAAACTAGCTAAGAAGCCGTGGCAAGAGTAAGTCTTAAATAATGAAGCTAGAGCAGCAAGTTGCCATGATTCTCCCCTTTCTCTTCCTACCATATATGCTCAAGCCTCCACCGCCCACAAAACAAAGCCTGAGCTGGCCGATTCCTTCTTTTCATCTAACTTATTATAAAAACAGCGCCAATGTTTAGAAGGATTCCATTCTCTTAATCGGACAACTGAAAATTCCCCGTCTCCCATTTTGTTCAGTTACAGATGACCTCCCTGCTTCCACAAGAGCACTGTTTTCATTGGGTTTACTCTGTGCCATCAGCTCAGTCTCATTTATTTACTTTGCAATAAGGTTTAGATTTTCTCAGATCCTTGTGTGCTTGTTACTCAGAAGGATCTGCCAGGATTTTCCAGAGTTCTGAGCTTTCATGGACCAAATGCAAAGCTCCTGCTTCTCACTGGCTCCTCCTCTTTGCCATTATGACCACTAAACACACCACAGATGCGTTATTTTAATTTTAGAGCAGGTGGATTGTTTAGCATGCTATCCCAACTGAACTTGTTGTTCCATTTTAAATCCAGAATCACAAATAAAGGTTTGTGTGGTATCTGAATTCTGGTTTCTGGGGGAACAAGAAGCCAAGTTCCTCAGTTCAGGCTACGGGCTAAACAAATCTCCCTGCTTTGCTGACAATCGCTTTAGTGGGAATGAGTGAAACAAGGCGCAGATGTGTTGCATGCGATAGCTGGGAGACCCTTCATAAGCCAGGATTTTTCACAATCCCGATGTTACTCTTCTGTGTGAATGAGGCCACTCGCTGCATCTTATAACATGTAGCCCTGGAAACATAAAGGCTAAAGTTTGCATAATGCAATTAAAGCCAAACTTGTATAGTTAGTCTGGCCTAAACAAAAATTACAGATTTTTTAAAGGAAAAAAACAACAACAACAAGAGGGCAGCTAGTAGTTTTACAAGTTCCTTTAAAAAAAGTTCATGGTACTTGCTGTGATGGTGGGGCTGCCCTGACGAATTTCGGAAGAGGATTTAGTCCAGTCCAGTCCAGCAGAACTGCTTTATTGTCTCCTGCTTTTAGTTGTGCACACGCACAACTAAATGGGATGGTGTAACTTAGTTTCCTACAATAGCAGGGGCCTGGACCTGGTGGCCTTCTGGCCCCTTCCAACTCTGCTCTTCTATGAACTATGCACCCTACAAGCTATTGAGGAGCTGGGTAGCTTTGGTGGAGAAACCCAAGATATCTACATATCTAGGTTTTGAGGCTTGAAAAGAGCAGGAGTGCCTCTTTGGTGATTCGGTGTTAAGGCTGCATGCCTGCCCAGCTAAGACTCAATGTTCTTTTTCTCTTCCTCTCACAGCCATCCCTTCCTGTCCTGTACACGTTATCCAGCCAAGCTACACACGAAGCTGTTCATCTCCTTTGTAGGATGTTGGTCTTTGATCCAGTGAGTTCGTGTTTTGTGTGGCACATTGCAAAGGGGGAAGGGGCTACAAGAGGGACTTTGGGGTGGGGCACCCCTTTTCTCTGATAAAACCAGGTGGGGAATCCCTTCAGCCCAGGGTCCCAGCATGCTTTAGCTTAGCGCTCTTACCAGCAGTGGCTGAGCCTTAGGAAAGGTGGTCCTAAGAACAGGGACTGGGGGAAAAACGGCGCAAAAGCCAGCACACTGCCAGACAATGCATGGTGGGGGAAAGGGGATGGCGCGGGGGAGAGGGTTGTGGCCACCAGAGGAGGCCTGCTTGAACCCAGTGCAATGCCAAGAGGGTTGGACTTGGCCTGGGTCTCCCCGCACACTGGGCTGCAGTTGTGTTTCAGCCTCTCATTCGTATGCAGAATCCACTGCAACCTGCACAGGTGGACAGGGTGAGTGAGCTCCCCCGCCCTGGAAGAAGCAGCCTCTTGTACCAGAAAGGAGTGAGGGATCAGAATGAGTTTTGTCTGGGAAACCACCCAGAAGGTTTCTACTAATGGGTGATCAAGAAATGCGCTTACTCGATTAATGCATATTCTGATCCACCAGAACCCACCTCCCCCGACAGTAGTAACGGGGGAAGAGTGCACAGGTGTTCTTGCTGCTTGAGGTAGGAGGTGGTGCAGAGGGCATAGTTTTCACTTGCCGGGGCTAAGCAAGGGTTGTGGGAAGGTAGGAAGGATGGAGTCCCTAATTCTTCTCCAGCACTTATTTGGAAGGGATTAAGCCACAACCGTCGCAAGAAGAGGAGTGGGGAACTGATATTAAAGGAAGCCTTTTGCTGGAACCGTGCACGTTATCCTGTCAGCAGTGGCAGAAGCGGAAAGCACTCAGTTCCTCCCTCCCCACTGAAACTCTGTCGCTCAAAAAATTTGTATTCCCCTGCTGCCACGTGGATTTTCACAGGCCTCCCTTGACTCTCCGCGTTGATCAAGCAGACTTTCCTCGAGAATAAGTGTGTGGACCACCGAGCACCCCCAAGTCTCTCTCAGGTTGCTTCCACAGCCGTGGGTTTGATTTTCACAGTCAGCTGCCCTCAGAAGGCTTTGTCCTGTGTAGGTGCCTGGTGACTCATCCCATGCTCCCTTCATTTCGGTGTAGGTTGTAAATGGGGCCTGACATCACTCTGATTGATGGCATGTAGGCACCTGCCATTCTGTGGCAAGCACATGTTCCCTCTCGGCAGTTTTTTCGTGGGAGCCCGCTGCGGAGCCCTCAGCGCCTAGCGTTTCACCGACTTGAGGACTTCCGTCTTGAGGGGCATCTCATTGGAAAGCCTCCTTTTTAGAGCTGCAGGAAGGCAGCCAGGCGCTGGAATCGCAGGGAGGAAACGCTTGGGGCAGATGCGTTGCTCTTATCTCCTCCTCGTAGGCACCCCTATTGCAACAGACCTTCCAGGAAGGAAGAGAGTGATGCAGCCAGTCTGTTGTTTGCTGTTGGACAGCCCGTCTTGTGGGGAGAGGAATGGCAGAAACACTTTAAAGAGGATGTTTTCTGGGAACCTGGCATGTCCCTCGTGTCCTTTGGATGCCTTTCTGAGGCCCCTGGCAGGCAAGCAACGTGGGCATCTCTGAAGGAGCAAGCAGGCATACACAGGAGCTCATGAAGCTCATCTCGTCAGATCGACCTTCCCAGCATTCAGCGGAATTAATAATTATATGCATGCATTCATGCAGCAGTCTCTCTTCCTGAAATTGCCTGATTCCCACTTCAGCCTCTGCCTAAAATGCTACCTGTGCTTCAGCCACCTTGCACAAGCAGCACCTCTCCGTAGCTGCAGCCTTTTCTCAGCTGCATCTTTTGAACGGTCCTTTTCTTGATGCTGGTCCTTCTTCCTCATGGCCGCCGACGAGTCATTGATCTGTAGCTGCTTGCAGTTCTGTTCTGAGTGCCATCTTTCAGGACCCCCTCCCCAAGTCTCTTCTCCCGAGCCCCCCATGTTTGTGTCGCAGGTGGTAGTTTGAAGTGGAGAGCTGAAGTGAAGCTTTCTCCGTGTAATCACTGGCGAGTTCAGGTGAACAATCGTGCAAAAAAATGGATTCTGGATGGGCAATGGGCTGCTTGTGAAGTGTGTCCAACGCAGGAAGGAGAAACCAGCAATATTTTAAGTTCAGCTAACTTCTCCAAAAATCTCTCTGAGTTTATACTTTGCTCCCATGGCTGAAGTGTGAAAATATGCATTTTATATGCACATTTTAATACGCAGTATAAATTTCAGTAATTTGCTAATTCCTGAAACAAAATCAAGCACTCCGGGATTGTGAACGTGACGTACCTGCATGGATTGAGAGCGAATGCAGCCTCCTCCTAGGTCTCTAGCCCAATGTGCTTGTTCTGCAGATACTGGGAAATAGATGTCAGTCACAGGGGGATGCCGGTGGCCCTCCAGACTCACTGGATTACTGGCATCCTATTAAAGATGGAAGAAGTGTGCAGGCAAATGTTTCCTCCACGCTTCCTGTGCTCCCCAAAAGCGAGACACCCCCAGGATGCATTGTATCCCGGTGGGGCCTCACTCCTCCCTTCTCTGTCCCCCAGAACACACCCCACTGCCAGCCCCAAGGTCAGGCAAGCAGCCTGGAAGTCATGGCCAGCACAGACAGAGGGTGGGAGGAGGGTGCTCCGACGCTGGAGTCGTAGCTCCAGCCCGAGAGTGCAACGTTCCTGGTCAGAGCGGGCACTCCGGATTTTCAGCCAGCCAAGCAGTGTCTTCTGACCGCGGGATTGCACCATCAATGACTGTTCCTAAACGCATTTTCAAAATAGCAGTCAGGTCAGACACTTTGAATTTGTTGGTATTTTTCAATCCCATTTTAGAGCGTTCAGGCCAGTTCACTAATGGGGGTGATCTTCTCTCCTTGACCAGTGCACCCCATAAAGACAGGCTGGGAGGAAGGGAAGGGGAGAAGGCTTTCAGCCCCGGGCGTTTCCAGATGAGGCTTTAATCCGGAGTGACTGCTGCCTGCTCGTTCACGCTTTGCAGAGCAGCCAGCACCATGATTGAGCTGCGGTTGTGTCACTGACCTGCTGGGTTTCCCCTCGCACTCTTCTATGCATCTTTAAACTTCCAGAAAGTTCTCACTCTTTAAAACGGGGCAGGAATATGGAAGAGAAGTGTGATTTCCATATCCATAAATAGCCTTGACATGTTGCCCCGGATTCTTTTATTTCTTTTTGCAAAGTGCAGGTTTGATGTGTACTCTGATACATCAAGCAGGAGAACCCGTCAGCATTTTGCACGCTGCTCTCCCTATCCTGCACCATAACAACCAGCTCTTCCTGCCCTGCTTTTTATTCAAGAGGGTCAGGAGAGAAAAAAAGAAGCCATCTTCTCTCTGCCTGTTCTCCCCCTGCAAGAGCCTCGCCTCGGGACCCCCCCTTCCTGATCTAAATTGTATTTCAATAATTAATTAACAAATTAAGCCCTTCCTTTGGCTTCCATCTCTGCTGCTTCCTTTCTTCTTCACTGTCTTCCCCTGGCTTGTCCACTCAGTCTGTGTCACGGCTACCAGAAAATCCTGGCTCCTGAAGAGACAGTTGCCCACATATAAATGCTTTTAAAGGAGAAGCCACAGATGAACGATTTAAATAGTTGAATGAAGGTCCTAGGAGGGATTGTTAATTAGTTCCTTTCTTGTACAATCAAGATTTTCTAATCAAAAATTTTAAAGCTATCTCTTAGTAATAGGAAATAGCCATGGCCCTGTGCTTCCTAAAACCTGCCAACTACCTGTCTCTTCACCCTGGTTTTTGCCCTTGAGCCAGGGGGTGGGGAGGAATAGCCACAGTCCCTTCATATTCCTGCTTGCTTGGCTGCTTGTGAATACTCACTCCTGGGTCTAGCATCTTCCACCCCACCTACCAACAGCAGTGTCAGGAAAAATAACAAGATGGTGCAAGGAAAGAAAATACAGAGTGTCTTTTGTGATGCCAGCATATCTAGCTCCATGTTATCATGAAATTGCCCCCCTCATATTCTTAAAGGCTTTGTTGGACCCATCTAGGGCAAATTTTTTATTTTATTGATTTGTTTAAGCATTTATATACTGTTCATTAGCATGGAGCTCTTCATTTTATTTACTGGAAAGCAAAGAAGTCTTTCTTCAGGGCTCCCCCTCAGTATATAAATCTTTGGGGGTTGGTCTCACTGTTATGTGAAAGGAAGACTTGGAGCAAGCCAAACAAAGCTGTGAATGGAATAGTAATCAGTCAGTATGTTACACAGGCCTTTAAGTTCTGACTTTTTTCTATTGTGGCAAGTATTCTTTTTTAATTTGTCAAAATATAAACCTTAATAATTTTAAACTCCAGCATATCCTCCTGGACTAAGTTGTTCCCTAGGATCCCGTGAGACTGCTTCATGTCCTGGAAGCTGTTTGTGAAAACAATATTTTGCAAAAGAAACAGTTAATGGTCTTGGAAATACACTTATAATAGGTTTTCTGGTCGAGGGGGACTAGCAGGGGGTGGGCACAGCAAAGCTTAAGACCACTGGTGGTATGTGAAGGCGACCTATTAGTTGCACTGGCGTTTTCAAGCAAACACCGCCTCCCAGTGGCGGAAGGACACAAAAGTTAGAGGGAAAGTGCTGATTGGGCTTATATTGGCAAGGGAAATGAATCTATGACAAAAGAAAGTCCTGAAAATCCGTAATTCTGTGCCTTCTCTTCTCTCAAATTCCAGTCCAAAAGAATATCTGCTAAGGATGCCTTAGCTCATCCATATCTCGATGAAGGGCGTTTGCGATACCACACCTGCATGTGTAAATGTTGCTTTTCCACCTCTACTGGACGGGTTTACACCAGTGATTTTGAACCCATCACAAATCCCAAATTCGATGATACCTTTGAAAAGAACCTCAGTTCCGTCCGGCAGGTGAAAGGTTGGTGTTTCGAGTTGTGATGCTTCATCCTTGGCCTTGGGCACCCTTGATTATTTTGCTGTTGGCTCACCAAAACAACACCTACACACTTGGAACAAAACATGTGCACATTTTGTTTCTGTATATATTATGTTTTCTTGATATTTATGTGTACTGTGCAACATATCTGCATATCTTAAAATGTGTAGAATGTGCTTTTCATTGGCATCTGTGCGGAAAAGCATCTTCCTACTCTTTGTGAGCTCTTAGCTGCGAGTGGAAGCGCTCCTCTGTTTCAAAGAATTTCAGTCACTCGAAATGTTGCTTTTTAAATGTCCAGGGTATTCTTATTTGTGTCTCAGTGGTGCTGTTTATTCTGACTAGGTGTGAAGGCATTCTTTAAAGCACGTGTATTTCACTGTGAACACCAAGTTTCCATTTAGTTTACTACTGTGCTGCTTTGAATTGTCCTTGAAAACAGAGCAAGAGCTGGGGCAGCTGGCCTCAGCCTGCCCAAATGTGCTTTCTGTGCCCAGCCCCAGTTGGCAACCCACTTGCTCTGGAGAATGTCAGCTGCTCTGAGTTGTTTGAAAAAAAGAAAGGCAGGAGATAAACCTGATAAACAAACAAACAAAACATCAGCAGCCAGCTGCAGTTTCTGAGTCGATTTCATATGTCACATTAATCTGGCCAAGGTGTTACCAAAGCACAGGTAAGGGTGTTCCAGCTGTCTTTGTCCAGGAAGGGCTCAAGTGGCAAAAGGTGCTTCATCTAGCAGAGGCTCCTCGGAGCTACAAAGGCAAGGTGGGGTCTAATAGCACCCCCAAAATTGTATGGGGTGCAACAGCCCTTGGAACCAGCTCAGCATCATCTCTCAGGGCAGACACGCTGCCTACCGCCCTTGCCCTGTGTGATGGAGGTGGATAAAGGGTGCCATTTGCTTTAAGACTGATTTTTTACCTATATGCAGAATTATACAAGCTTAACTAACTGGATGACCCTCATACTCTTGGTCGTGATTTCTTTAATCAGGCATAAGAGTTGCTCATGAGGTCATTGGTCACCATTTTGAAACCCCAGAGTTTGAAAACATATTTCTGAACATTGGGGCAAGATCCACACAAACAAGTTAGGCAATCTGGGCATCCTGAGCTTTACTGCATTCTGGTTTGGTTAAGGAAATGATTATTGTCCACATTTGTTTTGGGTATGTTTCCCTTGCGTTTGATCTTATTGTTTCGTCCAGCTCTTATCAGACTGCATGTAAACGGGTTTGCTTTCTTTCTTCCCAACCCCTCGTTGTTTTCCAGAAATAATTCATCAGTTCATTCTGGAACAGCAGAAAGGAAACAGAGTCCCTCTGTGCATCAACCCACAATCTGCTGCTTTTAAGAGCTTTATTAGGTAACTGTATGTAATCACATCTGATACTTATTCAACTTTCTTTAGTGGTACAGCAGTTTTAAAAACCTTGTTCCACCACAGCTTTAGCCATATGCCAAATTTATTCTTAAGGGTGCCTCAATTTTTAAAAAAATACATTTGGCCTTCAGGAGCCCTTGCTTGTGCAAGCCCCCTGAAATATGGCATGGCAGGTGCTTGGCCTGGAGTTTTCACATGACTGAAATCTCCTTTGGGCTGATTTAGTCCTAACAACGTTCCATAGCATGGTAATTTCTCCTTGTAGAGCAGCCGTCCATGCTGGTGTTCTTCATTTAGCCACTCATCTAGGGAGAATAAATCTTGGTCTACCTGTCCTGCAGAAAGAGGTGGCAGCAAGGTATCCATACAAGCAGAAAACTAGGACAGGGAGGAAGTAGGCTAGCCTAGAAATTCGCCCTCCCGGCCGTCTGAACTGGCACTGTTACTTCTGCCATATCAGAATATCGCCACCTTCATTCTCCGGTACATGTGAACCAGGCCCCTGACTTCAGTCTGGGCAAGCGATTGACTAGGTTGTCCCAAGCTGCTCTCCATGGCACAGACAGGTCAAGCTCAGGCCTTGTGTGCCACAGGTGAGTCCCAGCATCCTGAGTCGCCAAGGTCAGTGAGCAGCTGATGGGAGTCTTTCCTGCTAGGAAGCTGCTGCCGCCACCCAGCGTAAGCAGTGCAGGCCTAGGGGGATCAGGGCTTTGACCTGGAATAAAGCGCACTCTGCACAGGGTTTGATTCTGCAGGCCAATGCCAGGTTTTCATTGAAAACTCCTTGTGCAATAAGCTGGCTCATGGATTCGCGTGGGGCACTGAAGAGCGTACAGCCTTCCTTAGATTACAGTATGGCTGGCTGGGTTTCTCGTGCAGGTTTTAAAGCCAAACGTGTAGTTGAGGATTCCAGCCGGATTGCCCTGGAATCGCTTTTTATTACTAGGGAGCCATGGGCCTGCAGCTCAGCTAGTTCTCTGGCAGCTGTAGAGGTGAGCGAGACTTTGGCAGAAGGTGCACAGGGAGGTGAGGCAAGAGTGTCATTGCTGTTTCTTTAGCAACACATTGGTCCATCTAGCCCAGTATTGTCAGCACTGACTGGCAGCAGCAGCTCTCCATAGTTTCAGTTAGGACTTTTCCCAGCCCTGCCTGCAGATGGAGGGATTGAGTTTTGGACTGTCTGCATGCCAAGCATGTGCTCTTACCACTGAGCTTCAACCCTTTTCCTGATCCAGATGTTTGGATTTAAGATGCAGATACGCAGTGATATCCCACGTACCAATTAAATTACCCTTGAGGTAGTTCACAGTCAATTCTAATGATACGACGTATCTGCAAACCCCAGTGCATGCTGTCTCACAGCTCTTTGTTCCCTTCCCCATGGTACCGGTCAGAGCGCAATTCCCTTCAGTTCCACATTCCTGGGACAACTGAGAGTTGCCCTAAGGTATCCTTTCTGGAAGCTGCTAAATGTGGAAGTGGGATAGTGTAAATGGGTGGCCTGCAACAGCAGGAGGTTGGATCCAGTGCCTTCTTGGCCTTCCAGCTCTACTATTTGACGATTTCACTTGGTGGGTGGGTGCCAACAGCTTCTCGAAAGGAGGAGGTTTTCATGGAGTGATTGAGCAAGAAGTTTCACTTGGCTATCCCATATATCAGCAACAGCAAGTGTGGGAATGGGCAGAGTCATTAAGAAACAGGAGACCTGAGGACAGAGCTGGAGGACAGACATGTCTAGCTCTGAGGTGGAAGTGAAGCCAGGGAGACATTACCTGCCTGGAGGAGGTGCTTGTGCTGGATGCAGAACTGGATGGGAAGCCGGGTGGACGGTGCATTCTCTGAGTGACAGGAATGGTGAACTAACAGCTCTGACCACAGAGCTTTGAACTAAAGTGAGGACCAGAAAATCAAGGTTGGAGGCAAGCCGAGCCTGTTAGCTTAGCTAAAGGGAAGCAAAGGAAGAGCCTGCGCTTGTTCCAGGAGGCCTGCTGCTGCCGAGCAGCCACACCTGAGATGAGAAAGCAGCAATGCCCTTTGTTGCTCATGGGTTCTGATCCCATGGGCCATTTCACACACCTGTGGACAGGTGCCTGCTCAGTGCATGTGCTGTGGGGCTTCTCAGTGTCCTGACGTCCTCTTGCAAGCGAACATTGATCTTCTGTTTCGGTTGCCTTCCAGTTCCACAGTTGCTCAGCCGTCTGAGATGCCTCCATCCCCACTGGTCTGGGAGTGAACATGGAAGATGTCCTGTACTACTGAAGACATAATGTAGCTTTCCACTGGATTCTGGGATTTGCAATTCTGGAGGTCTAATCATGCTTGTACTGTAATTTTACTAATGAAGTTTTAAATTAACAACCACTATCCTTGTATGATAAACGAATAAGCGTTAGAAAAAGTGTTAACTAGGCTTTTAAATCCTGTCAAGGGTGGGGTTGTGCTTTTAGAAGAAAAATATTTTATCCAGAGTTGCACATGAGTTTTTGGGGTTTTTTAAAAAATGCATTGTAGTGCAGCTGTGATCTTGCTTGGCTCGGAACAAACATGCGATGGAACCAAATCAGTGGGAAAGTTGTTATTTTCTTGGTGTGGGGGTTTTTGTTTTTCTTTTCTCTCCCCCGCCCCCCCCCCCCGGTATAAAGCGAGATTGTGTAAAAGGATGACATGTTTTGATATTGAGCCATTTCTGAGGATTTTGGATTTTTCTAAAAAAAGAAAATGTACAAAGTTAGGGAATACAAAACTCAACTGTGACCAATTATGAAGCCCCATCAGGTAGTGGCGGCCAAACTTCAGTGGGCGATGTTAGCCTGATGGTCCCGGCCCCTATACTTTGCTCCTTGCTAGCACTGTGGTGGTGATTGTGTCCTGTTCCCCAATCAGATGTTGTAAGTAGAGAGAATGGTTGTGGATAGGAGAGATGAGACACGTCCTTTTAACTCCCTCCCCCCAGTATAAATAAATATATATAAATATATATATTTAATCTATTTTTATTAGAAGTTTTTCTGCTCTTTTCTTACATAAACCATGCCCCTTTCCCTCCAAGCATGCATCTGCATATGTGTGTAAATAATTCCAGTTCTGGGCTAATATTTCGAAGAATCTCAATACCCATTGCTGTGTATAGGCAGAGACTGAGAGAGAGAGAGAGAGAGAGACTGAGAGAGAGACAGCGTGAGCGCACGCGCGGAAGAGAACATGGCTTGCACATTTCTAGGTCTGTGAAATTTTGTGATTTATTTTTTTTTTAAACCTGCACTGGACAGTTAGGTGAAAAAGAAATGAAAAGCAGGGGGGAAAGCACATAGGGAACTACGTTAATTGTATTTGTGTCACTAGGCGACACTGTGGAAGTCTTGAAATGTCACAGTAGCAAATACCTTTTATTACTTTTTGGCTAATTCCTTTTCTGTGTGCGTTCTGTTCAAACACTGAATTATTCTGTGCATATTCTGTGTGTGTGTGTGCGTGTGTGTATGTATATATATATATATATATAGGAACAGAAATTGAAGCCCTTCTCTACCTCCTGGAGTATACAGCTTGGCTTGTTTACCTCCACATGATTTCTTTTTTTTTTTTTTTTTAAGTTCAGTGTGGAGACTTAAAACTTGAATGTCCCTTCCAACTTTTATATTTAAAAAAAGGCAAGAAAAATCGAAGACTGTTTTTCACCTGTACAAAGAAATAACAAATGGATGTTCTTAAATTTTGAACATTGGTCTGGGTTATTGAAAAAAGAGAGAGAAAGAAACCTTGGTGTTTGTCATGGACAATTAACTGTTAAAGTTATTGTAAGTTATCTGTATTTAGCAGAGTATTTTCAAGAAGAGTGATCTGAGCTGGAACTGAATACTATTAGTTAAGTTATGGTTTTGGAAGTTTTAACTTCAATGAAGTAATTATTTTGCTGTGAAAGAGACAAACGTTGAATTTCTCGAACAAAGATGATGAAATATCTTTGTTTTTTGTGTGGCTCCTGAGGAATTTTAAAAGCAAAACCAACTGAAGCATTTCAATTCACTTGAATGAGAATCGAGTTTTAACTTAAATGAGCCCAAGAAGACACTGGTATGAAAGGTAAAATCTCAGAGGTTGGTCTGTTAAATGTGGCACACTTGCGGGTCACTTTGTACAATGTAGATTTTGAAGTACAGTGGTGGAAGCATTAAATGTGACATTTGAAACAAAAAACCGCTCTGACTATGTTTTTTATCCCATTCTCCATCTGGCTGAGGCAGTCACGGATTCACTTACCAATTCCAGCCTTAGCAAACCCTTGCTCTTGGATTTGAATTTCTGCTTCACTTGCTATGAACAGTTGGAAATTCAGAAAATGCAGACCGACTCAAAGCTGAAAAGGTCCCCCCAAAATGGACCTCTGGGCAGAACACATACAGGTGACTCTTCAGAGTTGGAAGTAGTTTTTTGTAGCTTTCTGGGCCCAGGTCATGGGCTGCCATTTGAGCGTTGTCATCCTCATTGCGCTGAAAAGTGTACGTTTGTGCTGTTGCACCTCAATTCAAGGGCCCTGTAATTTCAGAAGTTCAAGTGGGCTGCATTAGTGGACTGCTGCATGCTGTTCTTTTAAACAAGGGTGTCAGGAAAGGTTTCAGCAAAATAAGATGATGGGTATGTCATAGAAATGCAGAATTTGGCCTCCTGGATATGTTGGCTCATTTTTTTAAAGGTTTGTAGCCTCTGTGGTTGTTAAGATATGCTTAATAGCATGTCAGAGATCTGTGCCGAATCCTTGGAAGGTGGAAAAATTGTTGGAATAGGTTTCCAGTGGTTGAGCAATGAGGCTTCGATGCTGCATACCGTTTCCTGTCCCTCCCCACAAATGCCTGTAATTTGTGTAGGTGAACTTCAGCCACTGTACATGCCACGGAACCTTAGATGCTCTGGGTGCAGTGTTTTTGCTTTTGCAATAAACTACCCTGTGTGCTTTTTTTTTCCTTGTGGAGGGAGTTGTGAGTTTGGCTTCTTTGTTTGTTATAGGGAGGTTGGGATTTAACAGCAGGTCCATCACTGCTTGTTGGAGACTGAAGTGGCAAAGTGCAAAAATAAAAAAGGCAGCTTGTCTTGCTGTGAATTAAGGAAGAATGGAAATACTGAACACAGGATACGTAACCCTAGAGCCCACTAGAAAAATCTGTGTGTTACTGATGTATTATTTCTCATTTTAAGAAGCTTCAACAATATTTTTATTTAAGCATATTTTCCTTCTTATATAAAGGGTAGCCAGAACATCAGTGACTCCTTCCAGGCTCACTAATGCAGGAACAATACTGCTTTCTGGATGCGGGGTCAGTATTCCTCCCTTTTCGAACTGAGGGAAATGGTGGGAGCCCCTCCCTTTGTAAGGATGCTGGGGTGAAGGAGGGGTTCCCGCTGTCACACCAACCTGCAGTTTAGAGGCTCGGAAATCAGTTTCTTGTCAGGGCAAATAGGTTTGTTTACAATTGAATGTATGGATCCATGGGTGCCTAAGTAGGAAGACCCCATGTTAATTTCCTTAGGGTTATATAGAATATACAAAAGGGGAGTGAATACAATACACAGGAAGGCGATTGGATACTTTGATATGGATAGGAAAGTGATTGGATACACGTCACAGCACCATAAAGAAAAGTTACATTTCACTCTCATTAGATGCCTTTGACAGACCTTCTAAACTAAAGTTACCTTAAACAGGCTGGCCAAGTTAAGTAAACAAAAAGGTTACCTGTGTGAACTTACAGGGTTAGGGAGGCGCTTTAGCAAGCCTATAAAACACAGAGATTACACTTTGACAGTTACCCACTAATGGAGTGGGGTCATCTGGTCTTCACCACCAGACACGGAGGCATCTTTTGATGTGTTTATGGCAGGGCAGTGAGGTGGGATGGTAAGAATTGTTTTTCTGAGTACACCACCAAACTCTCTTAGCTGTTAAATCTTCCCGGCAACAGGTTCCACGCAGGTGCAGAGCCCGCATGTGTGAACACACAGATGACCACTGGAACAACAGTTACAGGTAAGCAACCTGCCTTTTCTTCAATTGAGTGACAGACCTAATGCAGTTTAATGATTAGTGCCGTAACCTTTACACTGCTCAGATTTCTTGAAATCCTCTTAAATTTGTCAGCTAATCTGGGCCATGCGGGAAGCTTCAGGACCTAATTGCACACTGTCTCCCAGGAGAGACTGCGGGGGGGGGGGGATCTGCCACCTTCATAGCTTAAAGGAGCCCTCATAAATTTAGAGGGATTAATTTTGCTCCAGTTCTATTTCATCTCTGCCAGGCATACGTACGCACACGCACACACGCACACAGAACGTTCCAAAGCAGTGGGTTTTTAAAGGATGACATAATCCTTGATTTGAGAGGTGGTGAATTTCAAGTTGGGAGCACAGATACTGTAAACTCACTCGCCAGCGTGATAATTTCTGGACTTCCTCAGTCCTACCCAAAACCCACAACAATCCTATACCTCCTGGAGGGAGGGCAAAAAGTATGCTTTTGGTAATTTTTAGAACAGTATGCAAATCATCATTCCCCCCCCTCCCCATGGAGCCTGTAACACAGCCTTACAAGAATGCCCCATCTATGGGATTCCAAACACTCTTAACAACCACCGACATCTCTCTTCCGTGCCCCATCGGCACTCCACGGCCTTTGGGCCCTCTTACTGCATTACAGGTGTCCTATACCTGGTTTCCCCAAACTTTCTGGTGCCTCCCTCTTGTTCACAGGCCATGCCATGTTCAACACGTTGAAGCTGTGTGTATGTCACCCCTCACTGCATCAGGGAAGCATGCTGGGTCTTCATTAGATGAGCGAGGGCCGGGGGATCTCCTCGTCAGCTAAACAGTGGGCACCTTCTGCCTCTTTGGTGCATCCCGGAAATGGGAAAGAAATGAGCATTGGCTGGCTCCCTTTAACCATCCGCCAAGGTCGCTTCTGGAGGGATGGTGGCTGCCACTCTGGAGGGGATGCACATGTATGGCAGGGCCGTCTGAACGCATGGGCCTGATGGGCACTTGACCCTGGGCCCCGTACTAATCTCTGTATGTTAACCCCTGGAAAATTGGAAAACTTCCAAAATCAACAGTAGTTGTGGTGGTCGTAGGGGCCCCAGCACACTGCTTTGCCCGGGGCCCATAACGCGGTTCAGACGGCCCTGATCGGGGTTCCGCCTTGGCTGCAATCCAGGCAGAAGCGGTTCCGTCAGACCCATGCACGAGCGCTCTGCCAGCTTAGGGTTGCCTGGGGCTGAGCCCCACTGCAGAGCATTTCTGAAGCCCGGAGGGGGTAGCGCCGCACGTGGCTGCGCCCCGCATGCGACCCTCGCCATGCCAGCGCTCCTGCGGTGGGGCCCAGCCCTCCCCGCAGGGGGAGTGGGGAGCGCGCGCCGCGGCCTCCCCACCCCCGTCTCGCCGGGGCCGGGGCGCACACGCGGGGCCGGGGCCGGGGCGCGCCTGGGACCGCGCCGGAAGCGCCCGCGGCTCCGCCGGGGAAGGGCGGCCCTCTGCGACGGAGCCAATGGGCGCGGGCGGGGAGCGCCCGGCCCTCCTGGCGCGGCGCGGCGCGGCGAGGAGATGGCGGGCGGGCGCCTGCTGGACGGGCTCTTCGCGCTCTACTTCCTCACGCACATCCCCGTCACGCTGCTGGTCGACCTGCAGGCGCTGCGGCCCGGCGCCCACCCGCGCGCGGTGAGTGCGGCCCGGCGGGTGGTGGGCGGGGAGACGGCAGGGGGCTGTGCCGGGCGCGCTCCTGCAGCCGTCGGGGAAGAGCCTCGCCGGCGGCCCGCGGCGCAGCGGCATCCCGAGCGGGCGAGCCGGCGGCGCGCTGTGCCTGGCCCGGAAGCGCCTCCGTTTCGCTTTCATGCACGATTGTATTCGTATTCCGCCCCTTTTCCCGCGAAGAACTCAGGGCAGTATGCATTATGCACCTGCAGAGCTGTTTCCAGTTTGCCTCTGCGGACTCGTGGGCTAATACGCGCAAGCAAGCCCCTTTCCCCCTTTATTTACATTGTGGTGCTTTCTCTCTCTCTCTCTGTCTCTCTGACACATACACACACACGCAACTATACATGTAAGTGGGATGGGGGGACCCTCAGTGTTTACAATTGGAGATCCCTACAAAGGTGTCATACAGGGAACTCCCGATACTTGGCCCAGAATTGCCCTCTGCCCTGCTCAGGTTCATGCGCCTTCTAGGTCAGGGGTCTCCAACTCAGCTTACCTGGGGGCCGCTGGAAGCAGAGTCTGGGTGAGGCTGGGCCGCATCAAGTATTCACGGCGGTGGTGGTGGGCCGCTCATCCCCGGCGCTTTGAAGGCCGCAGGGCCCCCCCCCCGTGCCCCGCCCGTCCCAGCACTCAGCTTAGAGGGAACATTGCGCCCAGGGTAACGACTCACGCAGATGCGTGTGAGAAAAACACACAATCACTAAACTTTGATATCAAGTGGGGGCCACAAAATATCGTCCCACTGGCCGCAATTGGCCCGCGGGCCGCGCGTTTGAGACCCCTGTTCTAGATGGTGCGCAGCTCCAGGAAACCACCCAGACGCTTCCCAGGTTGTTTCCCCAGGCTGCTTCATCTCCCACATGCTTGTGCAAGCATTTCTTCAAGGCGCTCCCCCCTTCAGCCAGACCGGTTTTGGTTCTTGCAGGTCACAGAAGTTTCTCCCAGCTCCTCTGTTGTCCTGAGCTGTAAAGGCATGAGGAATTTCTGCAGTGGACTTCAATCCTCCCACGTTGATGGGCCCCAATTCTTATCATGCTGGCCTTAAGGCCAGGGAGTGCCCTGAGATTTGCCAGTTAATAATTCGCTGAAAAATACTGATATTTAACTTGATAGAATGCTTCTGTGATGTTAATGAGGAAAGCCAGAAAGACAGACAGACAATCTTTGTTGATCTTTCAGAGCTAGGCAACCCCTTCTTTTAATTCTCGCATACCCTTTGTTTTGTTTTGATTGCCCAGCTAAAGTTGGCATTTTGTACCTTGCATTTTAAAGTTGTGTTTTGAGCTGTTTAACTGAAGTCCCATGGATTTCTGTGGGTCTTCTCTAAGCATTACCAAGTCTGGATCAACCCACCCCATTTAAAAATTCACTTTTATTATGTCTGCCACCCAAATGGTCTATTTTAGAAGACAGCTGGTATGTTTAGTTAGCTGAATTTCTGCTTACTATCTATTGAGCTTACCTCTGCATAAGGAATTAAAGTGACATGATCCTGTGCTTAAGTGGGTAAGTGTATCTACTCAAAGTAAACTGCACTGATTCCAGTGGGCAAGTGTATAGTTTAATGCACCTGGGAGATACCAAGCTGGGAAAGTGTAACTTCTTCCAGTTGCATGCAGATTTTTGCTTTTAGGACATAACAAGGCATTATTTTAGATGTAACCTCATTTAAAATCCAAACATCCATTGGACGTAACCCTAAACTGTAGCTTAGTATTACAAAGCTGAGAGAAGGTGCCTTTTCTAACCAACCATAGTTTATGAAGCCAAAAATATTGTATCTGACCAAGCCCTCTAGCACTTGGACTGTTCTCACCTTCCACCCTATCTGGCTTTTTCCCTCTCCTTATTGCTTGTATTCCTCTTTAGTGCACCATGTGTCCTGACGACCTATTAATAACAGCACTAATTAGGTGGCCTAGATATTCTGTTGAGGTTGATTAACTTCCTTTTTAATTGACCAGCTGTTTTCTTCTCTCTCCGAAAGCTGACAGAATGGTTAACGTGGTACACAAATGCATTTAAGGACCCCTTGATGGCTGATCCCCCAGCCTGGTTCAGGTCCTTCATCTACTGTGAAGTCTTCTTACAGCTGCCCTTCTTTCCTGTTGCAGCCTACGCATTCTGGAAAGGTCAGTGCACCAGTTTGGGCTGGAAAAATACTTTGTGAACGGTTCTGCCAGGACTACAGAAAGTTAGCAAAAGAAAACATGATTTTCTTTTAGCAAAAGAAAACATGGCGTACATTGTGATGATAAAACCACACAACTTGGTATATACAGGGTGTCTCAAAAATTTTGACATTATTTGAAATGTGAATATCTGAGTAACCACATGTCCTAGGCAAACGAAATAGGCTTCATGTTGAACAATAAAAGATTTATTTATCACAATTAGAACATGAGATTCAAAGGGATGTAGATTTTATAGCCAATTTTGCAAAGCTTCACAAATGTTCAATATGCGCACCACCTGTGACACAACACAGGTCAAGTTGGTGGTCCACCTCCTGCCAAACACGCTGTAGCATGTCTTGCGTAACATTGCGTAACTAACATTAGTTAGTTTTTACACATTTTGTTAAAATTTGAGTTCATTTGAGCGAGAATTGGCTATGTTATTAGACTACGAAATGTCAATTTTTTGGGGACATCCTGTACAACTATTCCATGTAGCATGAGGGCTACACATTCATCCAATTCTCAAGACTTGTTGGGCTGCCACTTGGAAGTAGCACCCTTGCTCCATGTTGAACTCCCGGCATCTCAAGCGAGGGCTGGGAAAGCGCTCCCCAAGACCTGGCCACTTCACCCTGAAATCCTGAAGAGTTGTGTTGCCTAAACTGGCCGTGGTCCCCCACCTTTCTGTACTCTTTGCTGCCCTTTGCCCCTCCTGCGGAATTTGCTGCAACAGTCGCCCCCAAACTTGGTGGATCAACACCAAAATTGGTGGTGCACCAGTAGCAGAGAGACCCATGTCCCACTAGACCCAAACCAAATAGACTCTTCTTTGTGGCGGCTGCTTTGTCATGTTTTGGCAGCCGGTCTTCTGGTGTTTAACCAGCTCTCCTGCTGAATTTCAGCCACAGATTATCGGTGGAAAGCAGGGAATTCTCCCCAGGGTATGAAAAAGGGCTCCCAACACCTCCCCCCCTCCCCCCCCCAATGCTGCCAGTCCATTCAGGACTACAGGAAAAAAATGGCACCTTGAAATAATGAGCTTCCTTTAATAAAATGACAAAGGGTATTTGAGTAATCTGGCTCAAGAATGGGATTGCAGAAGTTTGAAGCACGTTGGCTTCATTCTGTTCCTTGAATGCAGGGAACTGCCAGTGGATCCGGACTCCAGCGATTATCTACGCAACTCATGTGGCCACAACCTTGCTTCCCATCCTTTCACACTTCCTCTTCACCGATTTCTCGAAGTCCAAGCACCCTGGGCCAGAGACACTGCATGAGCGACTGACCCTCTCAGCCATCTACCTCCCCTACCTGCTGATTCCTCTGCTGATGCTCTCTTCTATGCTGCTCAATCCCCTGTATAACAAGGTGGAAAAGAGGAAGAAGAAGTAACCTGGGGAAGGAACAGGGAGTGGCTGGCTTGGGAAATTTGCAAATCGGGTCAGTGCCAGCAAAGCTGTTTGTGTGAATGGCTCGTGCACCAAAGCCATCGCAAGGATGTGGGGTTTGGCTCTTTCAGGTTTCTGAAAAGCCTGTTGATATTTTCTAAAACAGACTAATCTAGTAAAATATGTAGTTTTACTTCCTTGGAGTCAAAAGAACACCTGTGTATGCGATCTTTTTTTCAGAGTTCAGCAACTGCATCTTTTCCAAGAAACATTTTATCCTGGGGGGGGGGGAAACAGGACTGACTGCCATTTCCTCTATTATAAATATCAGTGTGGGTTAAGCGTCGCTTCCTCAGTTGCCCCTACGGACAGGATCTGTTTGCTGCCATGAAACGAATATTGTAGGTGATGCAACCAGCAAGAGGTGGAGACCCACAATGTGTGTGACGCTCTACAAAGCTGAACAGACCTGTGCCCCAGCTGAGAAGTGATTCAAGGACGTAACAGAGGAAAGAGGGAAATTGAGACAGTAGAGGAAAACGTAGGATCAGGGCTGAAGAACCTGTAGCTGTCCAGATGAAGGTGGATTCTCGCCCCCAGCAGTCCCAGCCAGCATGGCCAGTAATGATGGGAGTTGTAGTCCAGCAAATGTGCCACTTGAACAACAGAAAGGGCTATGCCTGGTCTTTCCTTTTTAGCATCCCCTCCACCTTTCTTCAGTGGGTGCATATGGTGTTTGTGAGTGTACTTTCTGCGCCATTTATATTTTTTTAGACCTCTAAATTTGTCCCACCACACTAGCATCCACCAAGAACAATTTAAAAAGGAAACAATCCATCTCAAAAAACAGTAATTTATTTCCTTAAAAGTGTATTACAAGTGGGTGCTTTTTATTTGAACAAATGGGGGAAGCTGTGTGAACACAGACAGTCCGAGCGTTCAAGTTGGACTATAAATGCCTGCCCATTAAAAAGATGTTTATAAAATCCAAGAGGCAGTCCTGAAAAACCTGCTGATCAACCCTAATGCAAACCTCAGCTAAGTTGGTTCATTTTTGAATTGTCAAGGTGCTGGAATGCTTGGCGATTTCCCAGTTTGGTTGCTGCTGGTCCTGACTTTATTGCTCTACTTCTGGAAGATGAACTGGTCAATGAATTCATTCTGGTCCGCTTCTATCTTACAGAGTGTTTGATATTCGACCCGATACCTAGAGAAAGGAAAAAGCACATGATTAGCTGGCAATACCGAGTGAGCTTTGGGTGTTAATGCCTGGATTTGCAAAGAGAAGCAGGCTATCCAGCTGTGGGGAAAGCCGTGCTCGGCGCATGGAACAGCAGCAACCCAAAACAAGCCACCTCCTTCCTATTCTACTGCCTAAAAATACACATTAGACCCTTTTTATCCTGCTCTCGGCATTTATTTGGAATTTGCTGTTTTTAAATCTCATGCTGCTGTTTGCCTAAATTTTAAAAAGACTGCAAGGAAAGGAGCACAGGAGTCAAGCTGGATCTGATGGGGTGGAGCGAAGACACTCGCTTTGTGACGGACACATGGACCAGGTAGTTGGCATCAGGCAAATTCAGGTTCTGTCCCACCCACCCACCTTTCATCAGACACACACCGCAGGTGCTTTCAAGAGATTATCTGCTGAAATTGCTACACAACCATCTTTACCAGGCTTTGCTGCAAAGAAAGCTGGGGTGCCAAAACAGAGTGACAGTATTCCCAGTTTGACAGCCCTCGCTTAGGTTTCAACACCGAGAAGGAGGGGTAGCCGAATCACAGCGCATTCCTAAGCACACCTGCTCAGAAACAATCCCCGAGGATCCAAGCAGGTCCCGGCCTGCAAAGGCATCTCTTGCCACAGAGCTGTTAGCCTTGGGGGGCACCCCAAACCCCTCCCGACCTTTCCAGCTGCTTCTTCTTCTCAGCAATTAATTCCTGGAGCTGCTGCTGTTGCGCTTCTCTTTGCTTCGCTATTGACTTCAGCAAGTTGCGAGCACCGATGGCCTGTTCAAAGAGGATGAATTAGTTTGAAGCAAGCTGGGCACTGGATGACCAAGGCTGTTCCATTCTGAAACGTAGCAATAATTAATGACCCGAGTTTCCACGGATTCCTTAAGATTCTCAGTTTAATCTGCACATTTTGCAGAAGAAGAAAACCACTCCTAAAGGGGACAAAGAGTCTCTAAGCAACCATCTCAGAGGAGGAATTCTCTCTGATGTGAAAAAGGTGTTAAAAAACCAAACTACTTTGATAGGGTAGGACTTTGGGGCAGAAGTCCAGGACCCCATAGAACAGAGTGAGGAGCAGGGGCCTCAAAGAAGTTGATATCGCATGACCACAGGGGGACTCACAAATGCTGCAGCTAAAATATATTAACTTTTGAAAAGCATCCGCCAGCTGATTAACCAAAGACACCCATGTCGTTTAATTTTTAAGCTGTGTGTTTAAAATGCATGTCCTTCCCTCCAGGAGTGCTTTCACAGCAATCTGAAGAACAAATATAATAACCATACCAACAAAATAATCTGTAAAGTATATTAGAAAAACTACAATTCGTTAAAAAAGTAATCCATCTCTTGACTGCCCAAACTGCTATCTCAGCTTCTCATCCAAAGGGCTTTGCCGCAGCAATAGATCTGGGTCAGGGATGGGGGGCTGTGACTTTTTGCAGCCTTAAAATCATGAGCCGTGGAGAGTTTGAATACAAATCTCGTTGCCTTTCTGATTTTCAAACGCACCAAGGGAACCTCAGACTTTGAACAGGGCCACAGGAAAATAAAAATGAGACAAAACAAAGTGAACAACCGGTTCTCACTGACCAGCTAGCAGATATTAGACTCCTGCGTACAAGCACGGAACGCGCTGTTTGGAACTTTAGGAAGCCAAAATGGCGACCCTTGCACCGGGGGGTGGGGGGGATTTTTTGGTACCCATGCAACCCCTTAAAAGTGCAGAAAATCTTCAGGAGGGCGTCCCCCAAATCAGCCAGACGAGGACTAAGTCTCTCCAGCTGCCACAGAATGGACTGTCTGCTGCAAGGAGTTAAAAATGAAGATGGAGAGGGGAAATGGAATGAAGTGGCCAGGGGAAGGGCCTCGCTGACTGGCTGGAGTGGTCTATGCTTCAGCATCTTGGTGCAAATTGCACTAATTGCATACTTCTTTTGTCTCGTAAGGGCAGCTTGCCCAGTGGTATGAAAACTGAAAATAAGCTTCAAAAGGTGAGGTAAGACGGGCTACCTTGATCTTCTCATGCTCAGTTGTTTTTGCCAGCTGATCTACAAGCTCGATGTGGTTGTTCACTATTTTTTTAAATTCTGCAACTTCTGTACAGGAGGAACAAAAGAGCAACAAGAGAGGTTTATGCCCAACATCACTGGGAAAGAAACAAAACATTATCTTGAGCCAAGTGGAAAGTTCTCAGCATTTTTTGTTACTAATGCTGGTACAGTCCCCTAACCATTTTCTCTAGCATTAAGAATACACCAGTATGTTTCATTTTGTTGTGGTTAGACTGGCTTGAAACCTCAATCCAGCCACCATCATCTCTCTATCTCGCTTTCTTTCTGTTTCTCAGCCTGGCCTACCTCACAGGGTTCTTGTGAGGATAAAACAGAAAAACCATGGGGAAGCCGTGTCTGTCACCTGGAGCTCTTCGGAGAGAGGCGGCTATCACTGTTGACTAATAACTGAATAATAAGGGGGGTGTTCCGATGATACCATAAGGAAAACCCATGGTTAGCTGTGATGTATGCAACCCAGATATTTTGGCCAACAAAGCCCATGCGCCGTGAGCTGCAGCTAATGAGAAAGTGGAAGCACCACCTCCCTACACCTGAGGAGGGGGAACTCACCCGGCATCCTTCCCATCACAACAAAACATCGTTCCGCTATTTATAACCATCCCAAGCTTGCTCCACAAGTGGACAATTCGACCCCTGTGCGTGGTCCAGTTCCACCTGGGATAGTGGATGGCAAGGCAGCCATGTTGTGACCTAAATCCTGAGGCAGGACGAGGTGGACTGGCCATGACCAAGGAGATTAAGAACAGCCTGTGTCCATCCCGCCACTGTCCTGTCCTGTCACGGGCCATTTCGCATGCCTGGTAAGTTTGCTCACACCCGTCTGGGCTCAGCCAAGAACAAGGTCCTCTCTCAGTGCAGCAACTACATTAGCGAAGTGTGAACCGGCCCCCTGGCCCAACCTGAAGGTGCGTGGTGGAGAGAACTTACTGTCTACAAATATTTTGCATTCCTCTTTCAACTCGACCGTTTGCTGAGACACCTCTGGGTCCAAAACTCTCAGTTTGTTCAGCTCGTCGAAGTGGAGACTCGCCTCTGCCAGGATGTCTTTGGCCATCACGAGTTCTTCTCAGACTCCTGGGCAAAATAATTCAGCATGAGACGCACCAAACCCTAATTTAAAGAATAGAAGGAGGAAGGGGAAAAGAACAGAATCCTCTTCCCACAGCTCAAGGTTCCCATGAACAGGGCATGCCTCCTCCCAGCTGTCTTTATTCCACAGCAACTGGCCCTCTACAGATATACAATGCCAGTACAAGGAGGATCTAAAACTTGTGTATGGCTAGTGAGTCCTGCAAAGGGCCAAGATCAGCCCCAAGGCTGACCTAACCCATTATCCTGACAAACCAGGGGCCTCCCGATGGGGGTCCCCACTTGGCGGTGAGGTTCACCAGGGGAATATGCCTCAGCCAGTCCCAGACTGTCAGCTGCACCTACCTTGCTGGGGTGTTGTGAGATTAAGCTGGAGGGGGTGAGTTATGGAAACTGGCTTGAGCTTGCAAGAAAGAAGGCAGGCTACAAACATAATCCACGACTAAGGGGGACTCCCATCTTCCCCATTAGCCATGGTGATGGGGATGATGGGTGCAGTAGTCCGGGACGTCTACCGGCCAGAAAGTCGCCGACCCTCACGCCCAAGGCACAACTCCGTGCCGCCCCGGGGTGCCCCTGATGTGCTGGACTACAGTGCCTATCATGCTGGCCATGCTGCCTGGGGATGATGGGAGTCGTCGCGCAGGGCGTCGAGAAGGTGCCCGCTTGCGGAAAGACGCTCCGCACAGGCGTCCTGGCGACGAGCCCACTCCCCGCGGCCCCTCAGCCTGCCCGGCTTACCTGTCCCGCTCTCCGCCCGCCGCCTCCGAGGGCGCCCGCAGCTGCCACGGCGACGGCGGCAGGAGGCCCCGCCCACTGGGGGGGACGTGCGGTTGTCACGTGGGAGGGCGGGCGGCGCGTTGCGTCATGGGAACTGCAGTTCTGGGGGGAGAATCCGTGGTTGCGGGCGGGGGCGAAGGGCAAGCGACGTCTCCGGGTTCCTTGCAGGGAAAACAGCCGGAGACGGCCGATTAGGGTGGCAATACTGTTATTACATTTATAACCCGCTTTTCTTCCTCTCGCAAGGCTCCCCTTTTCATGCGATGCTCGCAACAACGCTGTGAGGTCGGTAGGCTGCGAGGCCGTGAGTGGCACGAGTCAGCTCGCGTGCTTCCTGGGCACAGAACCCGGATCTCCCGAGTCCCAGTGCACTAGGCTCCTCTGGTTCTCCAGTGTGGATACAAAGTAGAGCATGCATTTTATTTATTGCAGTGATTTCCTGCTTTGCCCCCCTTGCACCGAACCAAAGTGGCTTTCAAGGGTCTCTTCATTGCAGTCCCACAACGACGCTATGAGGTAGGCTAGGCTTGCAAGTCCATGACTGGCCAGTACTCTTCCTGGCAGAGAGGGCACTACAGAACGCGAGGCTAGTTACTGCCCCAACACAGAGTCTGAGCTTTTGCTTCTCGGGGACCAAGCGGGTTGTGCTCGCTCTTAGGCTGCTCGGCTGATTAAAGCGCTCGATAGTTCTGGCCTCAGCACTTCTGCCTAGGGGAAGCCCGGGAGGCCCGCGTTGCATGCAGGGAAATGTAGTTCTGGCGGCGCGTGGTCGCGTATGCCTGCGGACGCCGGCGCGCGCTGCATGCCGGGAACGCTGGGTCGAGACGCGTCGTGGGAAAGGCCTGCCTGCCTGCTGGAGCTCCGCCCTTCGGGCGGGCTTGCGAAGCGTCGGGTGGGTACGCCGGCTCGCCTGGGAGCAGCCTTGGCTCAGCTGTGCGTCCGCTGCCAGTGGGAGATTTCGCGGCACGAGGCGGCGGCCTAGTGTGGCAGTAGCGGCGCTGCTCTTGGAAACGGGTGAGTAAACAGGCGGGTGTCGGCCGCTCAAATAACGAGGCGGGAGGGCCCGCTGGGGAGTGGGCTTGATTTTGCGTTTCGAGGGGCAGAGGCGGCGAAAGAGGCGGCGCGGGAGGCGGGAAAAATGGCTGCGGGCAGATTGGCTGGTGGGTCGGTCAGAAGTGGGTCGAGGTCATGCAAACATGTTTGGGCGAAGGTCCTATTGCCCCCTTCCCTTCCTGGGATAAGGCTTCTTTAACAGCAGTGCTAGGCGGAAGTTCCACAGATGTGGCTCTAAGTCCTGCATGGCGGGGGACATAAAGGGGGAAAGCTGGTCTTGTTGAATGTATGCCAACAGCTAAACAACCCCCCCCCCCCCAATGTTGGAATGTGTGTCAACAGCTAAAAAACAAATACTCGGTGAGTGCCAGGTAAATCTGGGAGGTAATAAGGAGAAATCCCACCTGGGATGCTTTTAGCTCCAGCCTGAATGATGCACCCTTTGATTTCATTTTCTTTTACTGGGTTTCAAAACCTGTGGAGGGAGAGAGTTTATGCCACACCGCTTTTGCCAGGGCAGCCCACAACAGTTACACCTGTTGAATTTCTGCATGCTCCTTAAAAGCCTTTGAGAGTCAAGTAATATGTGTGTATGTTTGCTGGAGGGGAGTGTGGGAGAGAAGTGTGACATCCCCCCACACACACACACAGAGCTAAGTGCTTTCCTGTGCTAGGCAGAAATCCCACAGGTGAACTTTCCTCCAGTGTACTGATGGAGGAGGGTAGTATCGGTTGAATTTTTGCCTGCTATTACATACAATCAACTAGGAGCTTCCTCCTGTCCCCAGGCAGAGGGGAAAACCATGACCATCTAGAGCAGAGGAAGTAACTGAAGTGGGAAAAAGTAGCATTTTATGGACTGGGTGAAATGTATCAGCGCTGATTTATAATTGTGAATAAGCATGAGGGAGGGCAGAGGAGATAAGAGGAACGTGCGACGCCTCAGCTGGCAGGACAGCAAATGTCCTTGAGGGGAAGGAAATAAGCATTTATCAGATTTCTTGCTTATTTGTGCATCATGTGCCTGAAGGATCCATGTGGCTTCGATTTGTGCTTGCCGGTGGTTTAGGGTTATGGGTGCTTGTGAATGGCTTTGTACATCCTTGGAGAAAGAATGTGTGAAGGCAGTGGAGTCATGAGATATTTGTCATATTGTGCGTGAGGGTGAACATGGACTAAAAAAAAAAAAAAGGAAAACCCAGGCAGGGAGAGTAGCAGAGCTTATGCAGCTAATTGATGGAGGGGAGATCTTGGCATGCCAAGGGGAAACCTGAGATTTGCAGATGTACCGCAGAAATAAATAAAAAGAAGGATGCTTAATGAGGGGTACCCAAGAACGAAGGATGATATTTGGGAAAGAAACATGGAGCACAGGATGTTGAGTGGAATGCCGCGCATGGAGGGAATAGCTATCTGTATCCCCGGAAAAGAGCATTACCCCTGGAAGTGAAGAAGCTTCCCATTTCTGTTAATTTGTTCCCAAGGTTTATATCCTAGCTTCCAACCTTTATAGGCGTTCCCAGGACAGCTGGCAATTAAAATCAAAGTTGAAACATAAACACTAGAAGGCACATGACAATGTGAAATAGCAGCAAATGTTGCAAATTAACATAGGAGTGAAGAACAGAAAGTAACTAGTAACAGCTCCAGGAGGTCTTTAAACCCTGGAATATCCAAAGCAAAACTAGAAGCGCTCAAACCCTAGGCACTGAAATGCCATTGGGTAATACTTTGTATTTATTTATTGTATTCGTGTGCTGCCCTGTGGCCTGGGAGCTCTGGGCGGTTCACAAAAAACAACAACGTAAAGTAAAACAGTAACATGTGAAACCACAAAAACTCAACTAACATAAGGTGTGAAACAGGAGGGTAAAACAAACAACAATAAAACCAGCAGTGAAGAGCAAATAGTTATAAAATCAAGTACTAAGCAACAAATTTGTAGGGCGAATGGAGGTCATGCCAGCTCCATAAGATGCACTGAAGTCTTAGGGATCAAAGGACAGCAGTGTCTCTATGTCTCTCTCTTCACCCTCTTGGATCTCAGCTGACCCACATCAGAGACAGTAAGAAGGTAGATCTCCTGATGTTTGGCACTCCAGCTCCCAGAAGCTCCTGCCAGTACAGCACATGGTCAGGGATGCTGGGAGCTGAAGTCCGGGGTATTTAGGCATCGGCGTGCTACCCATCCCAGGGATCTTACAGATCTTCTTTCAGCCCAGCTTCATGTCAGAGAAGCTGGTCACACGGCACATTCCAGTGGTGAGCAGGGCCGAAAACAGAATGGGTGGCACCAAAAGCACCCGCCTGTTTTAGTGTGCTGCTCTTACTACCAGTGAGTAAGCCTTAGGAGAGGCACGCCAGCCTTTGAGGATGGAGCTGAGGTCACACAAAAGCCAGGAAATCAGGGGAAGGCGGTGTGGCCTTCTCCGAACTCCCAGAGGCCTGGATTTGGCCCCGAGACTTGATCTTTTGCAACACGGGCCTGTTTAGGGCATTACTAGCAGTCGTTTGCTTTTTTCCCCTATTGCGAGCACCACACGGTGGCTCCTCTAGCTCTCCTCCATTTTATCCCTTTAACAGCCACCCGTTCAGGTGGGTTAGATGAGAGCAGGCGACAGGCTCGGAGACACCCAGGGAGCTTTGTGGCCAAGCGGAGACGAGAGAACCTGGCTCTCCCAAGTCCCCGTCCCGTACTCCCACCACCAAGCCACTCTGGTTCCTACAGTGCAGCTTCCCCCACATGGGCTCCTGGCCGTTGTGCCGGACTACAGCCAGCAGGGCCGTGCCTGTGTGGGTAGCCTTGGATCAGTTGTGAAGTCTGTGTGTGGGTGCAACAGAGACACGTGCGTGCCGCAAAGCCGGCCCTCCGCTTCTCTCATGCCTGTTTTCGGACAGCAAGCCTGTTGGTGTGGCCATCAGGCGAGCTTGCTGAGCTGCACAGTCCAAGCAGCAAGGTCTAGGAGGATGACGGCATCGGCTCCATGGGAGGAGAGCCAGTCAGGCCTGGTCTTGGGTGGAGAAGCATGAAATATTTGGCTGCTTGCTTCTCCCAGGCAGTGTTCTGGCTGAGCCCCTGCTTGATGCAGGGCATTGAGAGCCTCTCCAACAAGTTGGTAGCCTGGCATCTGCTTGAAGACCCCCAGGAAGCTCCTTCTGGCCACAGATCTGCCGTTTGTCCTGTCTTTCTACAGCCAAACATTTCCAGGGGGACTTTCAGAGCTCAAGAATAAGGCAGCTTCTGCTTTCAGGCTTATGATGTGAAAGACACATCACAGAAGGAAAAGGGAGCAGGAGGGAAGAGGAAAAACACAGGCCCCGCTTTTATACAAGTCAAAGCTTTTAGAAGTGTTCTTTCAGACAGGGAAGGCTGAAGCAGGCTTGTGGCTCCCGTTCCTGCTTGGACTGATCTATAGGGCGCGTTTGGTCTCACCCCTTATACCATGAGTCATGGGGCGCAGCTTCTCTGTGGCCCTGGGCCCTGCGTGAATCGTTTGCCGCAGATATCCAGGCTTTTCAGAGGTGGGTTATCTCCACATTCCCACACGATCGGGCATTTCCACAGTGGCCCTTGGCTTGGCACACCCCTTCCTGACTTCTGGCAGTGGCCTGTGGTTCTGCTGGAAATAGTGGCTTGCTAAGCCGTCGGGCCTTTCCAGGCATATGTTCCGACAGAACAGAAATGCACCGACGAAGGGCCTGCAGCGGAAATGCTCCCATTGTGTGTGACGCTCTGAGTCAGGCGGTCACGTCATTCTATAGAGCTGGGAGTTCCTGCCGCTGTTCTCTGGACTTCACTCTCCTCGGGATGGTGGTTTTGCCTTCTGGCAGCCAGTGCTGCTCTGCTGTTCCAGCTTGGAAAACCCAGGTAGCTGTGCTCCAGTCCGCCCCCCCCCCCCTTGGCCTTTCCAGTACAACTGCAGTGTTTAATCCATTAACTTAGTCCCTCTAAAAATAGGTCTGGCCGGGCATGATATTTTCCCAACCTGAATTTTCCAAATTTTCCAAACCGCCAGTGCCATTTTAGGAGAGACACTCCATCTTGTTTCAAGTGGAGGTGGGGATGCCTCTCCCAAGAGGCTGGGCTGAATGGAAAAAGAAACCTGGGTAAGGAGATGGTTCCCTGTCCAAGGGTGCGCATGACGTGGGCACTCTGGAAGTGGCTGGACTGCAGCGCTCCGTTCCTGACCTTTGCTTGGCCTCAAGGGAGACGGAGAGTGGCGACAGGCGGGGCAGCGTGGATTCCCCAGTCGTGTTCTAACCCCTTCAGCAAGGAGGCTCAGCTAGGAGCTGGGATTATGGCCCATTGCCTGGGTACGGCAGCTCTCTGGATTCTTGGCGTCTTGCTTGTGTCACTGCCGCAGGAAGGGACCCCTTCACTGACTGCCTGACTGACTGGCGCTCTCTCTCTCTCTCTCTCGTGTCCGGCATTTCCAGTCCCTCACCGCCTTCCCCTCATCCGCTCGGTGAGCCCGCAGCTTCTCCCCAACCACGGCGGAGTCGGTCAAGCCCACCCTCTGCAGAGTTGTCATCTACTTGCAGAAGGAGATGTCGGGGGACACCTGCCTGGAGCCCCTCTGCCTCGGCCCCGGAGCCAAGCCCAAGAGCTGCCCCTTCAGGGCGGCTGGCAACAAGTACGTGCGACTCAACGTGGGCGGCTCCTTGTACTACACCACAGTGCAGGTCTTGACGCGGCACGACACCATGCTCAAGGCCATGTTCAGCGGCCGGATGGAGGTGCTTTCGGACAAGGAAGGTGAGGGCAGGCCCGGCCAAGGGCATGTGCTCCTTTATTTCTCTGTGCTATTCTCATCCCGCTCTCCAGCCAAGCGAGGCAGCTTACCAAGATGACTAATAAAGACAGCCCCTGTTTTTAGCCGTGCATCCAAATGGCATGACACGCAAGGAAAAGCGATCAGGAGGGAAGAGGAAACGAGCAAATGCTTAACGCAGGGGTTTGTGAGGATCGCGGGGGAGACAAGCCGCGGCTGCTCATTTGGGCTGCTCACATCCTAGTCTGTGCATCTCTCAGCATCAGCCTTCCTCCCACCAACCACAAGTCCCGTCATTCCCAGCTCGTGACTGGGAGGGAACCAGGTTGGGAGGAAGGCTCCTCTCAAGGAGAGCTGTTGCCTCCCTCCCTCTTTTGGCCTGGAGGAAACCAGCACTTGCTCCCACAGTGAGCAGGCGAATCTGGGCGATGGAGCCCAGGCGTTGCGTGGAGAGGGCTCTGGGTCGGAGGGGACGTGGGCGGCCCACCCGCGTGTACGCAGCGGCCCCTCCCGCTGCAGCCCTCTGTCCTCTCTTCCTCCTCAAGGCTGGATCCTCATCGACCGTTGTGGGAAGCATTTCGGGGCCGTCCTAAACTACCTGAGGGACAATGTGGTCACCCTGCCGAAGAACCGGCAGGAGATCAAAGAGCTGATGGCCGAAGCCAAATATTACCTCATCCAGGGACTGGTGGATCTCTGCCAGACCGCGCTGCAGGTAAGGCCTGGGAGCGCGTGGGGCCGAAGAATCGGAGGTGCGCCTGAAGGGCATCTAGCTCAACCCCACCCAGCGCAGGCAGCAGCCTCTGCCCTGGTGAATGCCCCCCCGCCTCCCCGCTTCTGCTTTAGTAGCTCCTGTCCCTTTAAGTCAGCTCTTCCTGTTAAGGATGTTGCTCCTTCCCAGCCAACTCCGGTCTCGCTTCCCTTCGCACATCCGGTGAATGGTGCATGGGGGGGACGTGAACGAATGAATATCCCTGAAAGATTGATTAGCCGTCTCTCCCCGAGTCCTTCAAGCTCCGGCTTTGAAGATGGAGCTTCCAGAGTCCAGCACGGTGTAGCTTCCCAGCTGGGTCTCGACTGCCGTGGTGTCCCTCCCACTTGAATGGCTAGAGAGGGGGGTGTTGGATCTCCCTCAGCCCATGTGCCTTTGCGATGCTCTTGCGCAGGACAAGAAGGACTCCTTCAGAGCCGTCTGCAGCATCCCCGTCATCACGTCCCCCAAAGAAGAGGAGCGGCTCATAGAGTCTGCAATGAAGGTGGGTGCTTTCTGGACTTGGGCGCCTCATCAAAATCTGTCGCAGCCAGGCCTGGGGCTGGGGGCTGGGGGCTTTGACTGCCCCCCGTGGGTGGGGGGTACAGCACACCTGGCAGAAGGCCCTGCTCCCTTTTAAGCTCGGGGTGTTCTCTGTGCCCTCAGGCACTTGGGTTGTAGCTGAACCCCCGAGCTGCATGGACCCTTTGGGTCTCTGCAGGGTCCCCACTGAGGGTGGGAAACTCATTTTCTGCCTAGGGTCACATCTCTTGGGGGGGGGACTTGTTAGCAGAGGGCACGGCTGGAGCCAAGCATGAGTCTAGGAGCCTGTTGAGGGAGACAGACACGCTGCTCTTCCCAGAGGTCTGGACTTGTGGAGTTGTTCTGAGGCCCAGCTTGCCGGCTGCAGCTTACCCGTCCCGTGCTGGAGAGGTCTGGCCTTGGCCACAGCCTGTTTGGCCTCTTGCGACTGACCTGATTTGGGGGTGCCTTGGGAAAGTGTTCATAAATGCCAGCTTGTCCAGAATGCTGCAGCCAGACTGTTCACCGAGCAGAGCCCTCCCCTGTTCCATCCACTTCCAAATGGCAGGGAAGCCTTCCATGGTTTGGGACCAGCCAACCCAAAAGGCCTTCCTCTTCCTCTGCTCTCTGAATTTCCCACCTTTGACCTGGAGCTGGTTCGATGGGCAGTGGAATACTCTTCCCCGAAACTGACGCTTCCCCTTTTCTCCTCCTTCCAGCCTGTGGTGAAGCTGCTCTACAACCGAAGTAACAACAAATACTCCTACACGAGGTAACGCCCCCTGCCTTCCGGGTGCAAGTCAGCCCCGGCAGAGCCCTGCCGGCTTGGGCCAAAAGCCGTTCATGGCAAGCACCTTTGGCTCCCCTGCTGGCCAACCAGCCACTTTGGACAAGCCCACCGCCGGCAGCCCACCCCCGTCTGCGTTCCCAGGCTGCTGGTGCGCAGACACAGTCCGTGTCTGGCAGGGGGTCTCCTCCCTCTTTTGCATCCCCCCCTTCCTGCTCACCCCCTCCCACCACTCCAACTGGGAAAAGCAGCTTGGTGCCAGTGCCCAGAGGGGTCTCTGGAGGGCCCTCCCCGGCCCGTGTCCCCCAGCAGGGCTGTGGCCCGCACGGTTGGAGGGCCGGGATTGAGGAAGGCTGGAATTGGCGGCTTAGGACTCGAACACTGAGGTGCAGCCCTAGCTGGCTTTTGCCTGTGCGGATCTGGGCTGCATTTGCTCACCTCATTCCCCCCCCCCGCCCCAACTTTTTAAAATCCCGAACTTGCTGATTGCACTTTGTAAGGTGAGGGAATTGCTTTGAGGCTCCAAAAGGGTCAGTGTGGCCTAGTGGTCAGACTCCCTGGGGGACCAGTCCCTGCCTCTCTGCCCAGCTGACCCTGTAGCTGGCCTCTTTGGAGGTGCCGGGCTCCCCATTGTGAGCGGCAGCAAACAGGGTGGCAGGAGAAGAGCAGAGGGCGGCAGCCGTGGGTTGCCAGGGAGAACATAACCCAGCCCAAACCAGGACGGGCAGCTCGCTGCTGGGCCTGAAAAGCCATGTGAGAGATGGCAGTTGGTCAGTTTAAATTTGCACACGCATGCAGCTCTTTCTGGAAAGAAAACATGACTGGTTTGCTTTTAGGTTGTTGTTATTACTGCTATCAAAACATCTAAAGTACCTGTAGTTTTCTAAGTGCTGTATAGGTACTGAACGGTACGACAGTCCTGGCCAGGCTTATGCATGCAGTGCAAAAGGAAAAAGGAATGGGGAGGGTAGAGGAAAGCACAGCGGCCCCTTCTTTGGCATGTGCAGGGGGCTGAGGTGGTCTCCCCCGGCTGTGTGATTCCTCCCCGGAGCCTGGAGGAGCAGCCTCTCAGCGCCCCTGGCCGAGCCGAGCCCTGTGTGTGCCTTGCTGCTGCCGTGCTGTCCCGGAGCAAAGTCCAGTGGAAGGGAGGTCTTCCTCGTGCTTTCGTCCCCCCTGGAATTAGGTCGCTGAAAAGGAACGGCTGGGAGGCAGGGCAGGAGTGGCTTGCGTGGGAGTTTTGTTCCTGTTCCTAGCTGTGCGGTCCTTCGAAGCACCCTGTCACTTATTTCTTAGTGTACATCCACCAGCCGTGCCACATGGGAGTCCAGAGGAAAGCCCACAGATGTATTTGTTTATTTCATTTTTTAATCTCCCACCCTTTACAGTGTCTCAGGGCGGTTTACAGTTTTCACAACTATCCTGTGGTCGAATAAACTTTAAATTGATGCATGTTGCCAAAACAATCTGTGTTTACTGGTCTACTCCATGTCTGTATCAATACACTAGGCATCCTTCTCTTTCTCGATTTAACTCTCATTCATATATTATTTTTATCAACAATTGGTGATCGAAGTACAATACAATCTAGGCACCAAATCAGTCTTTCTGGGGGCCAGCTCCAGTCTAAGTGACTAAGTTTCAAGTCACTAAACACTACCGTCAATGTTGAGGAGGTCAACAGACCCCCAGTCCACGTTCCCGTATCCAGTGATAAATCCCATGAAGCCAAAGTCTTCCCAGAGAGCCCTCCCTTGACTCTCTGCTCAGTTGTGAATCTCTCCGGACAACCTTGAGGCAAGTCGCCCTCTTGGCCAAGTCTTTCTGCTAGGAAGCACCCACGGCCTGGGCCTTGAGCAAATCGGAGACTGAACAGTGGAAAACTAAAATGCGCTTCTCTGCTCTGCTCCCATGATTTCAGCAACTCCGACGACAATTTATTGAAGAACATAGAACTGTTTGACAAGCTGTCCCTCCGCTTCAATGGAAGGGTGCTATTCATCAAAGATGTAATTGGGGACGAGATCTGCTGCTGGTCCTTCTACGGCCAGAACCGGAAACTGGCTGAAGTCTGCTGCACATCCATCGTTTATGCCACAGAGAAGAAGCAAACCAAGGTATCCCGACTTCGCTGTTTTGCTTTTTAGCACTGACCTCATGTCTGGGCAGATTTCAGTGGTTGCAAGTTGAGCTCCGTCAAGGAAAGAGAAGGGCCCACTCCTCTGCCTGCCTGGCTGGGGCATGCTGGGGGTTGTAGGCCTCGTCTCCCATCTAAGCCTGCACAAGACCAGGCCTTCGATAGCTTCTGCGTCTGGGGACCTGGTGGAGTGCAGTGGGGGAAGCTGAAGTGTAGCAGAACCGGAGTCGGAGAGGCTGAGGAAAAGAAGCAGAGCCATCGGGGAGGAGAGGAGAGGTCAGAGCAAAGACTGACTTTGTCCAGCCTTCTCCTTTGCTCAGATGCTTCAGGGAGGCTCCCAAGGAGGGTGCGAAGGCAGCGGTGCTGTTGCGGGAAAGCCACACCGGTGCCTGTGAGCTTAGGAGCTGGGCCCAAGAGCTGGCCTGCTTAATCTAGACTCAACAAAGGCTCCGCTGCCTGAGGAAGCCTAAGCCAAGCATTCTGCCACCCGCTGCCGTGACCCTTGCAGGGTGCCAGAATAAAGCTCAGGGATGTTTTTGAAAGAACCCACAGTCTTCCGCCGTGGGCTTCGATTTAGCATTGCATGTTGGGCTCCTCTTTGCATAATTCACCTGCGAGTTACAGGGCAGGTGCAAGGAGCTGGGAATTCCACCGAGCTGCTGCTCCCTGGCACTGTAGCAAGAAAGCCAGGAGCAGGAGGTGCAACAGCTCCTGCAGGAGGTCTTTGGGAGGTGGAGAGGGGAATCGTTCCCTGTGGCGTACAGGCCAGCAAGCAAGAGCTGCACGGAGACAGGCGCCCCCCTGGCGTGCAGACACACACGCTTCCTCCTCTCTCCAGGTGGAATTTCCCGAAGCCCGCATCTATGAGGAGACGCTGAACGTCTTGCTGTACGAGACCCCCCGGGTGCCCGACAACTCCCTGCTGGAGGCGACAAGCCGGAACCGGAGCCAGGCTTCCCGGGGCGAGGAAGAGGACAGCAGCTTTGAGCTGCGCGACCGGGTCCGGCGCATCCACGTGAAGCGCTACAGCACCTACGATGACCGGCAGATGGGCCACTAGGGGCCCCCGCGGAGCCGCTCGGGGGGCCCACCTTCCACACGGGCATTTCGCTGGCCTCGGTGGGCCTTATGCAAGCGGAAGGCAGGGGCTAAAGGCGGGTTTGACTTTGATTGCTGCCGGGCTGCGGCGCTACGTGATCGCAGGAGGCCTGCCTCCCCCCACCCCAAGTGCCAGCCCAAAGCAACCTGGCTGGTTTTAAACAATCTCTTTGTGTGTTGCTGTTTTAGTTCATGTCTCTTCTGGAAGCTCCCAGGCAGCTTTTTATGCCTCAGGAGAGGCAACAAATTGCCGTTCCTTGTTCAGATTTGAGAGCAGCTCTCGCCCAGGAACCTTCTTGGTTAGACAGACTCAGACTCTGCTTAGCGGACTCTAGTTTTTCCTTGAAGCTTTCAAATCCAGATGCTGAGGACGAGGACGAGGCCGCTTCTGCCGATCAAACACTACAGTCTGCAGCCCTGTCCCCCCTTTGCCTCTGTCCTTGTGCTTTTCCTCCCGCAAGGTGCAATATGATCCCATGTCATCCAGACCCAAAGCTGGGAGAACTTTGAATACCAGCTAAATATTTGTAGCTTGAATCTGGGGAAGAACTTACAAATGGAGACAGGCCCCTACAGAGCATCTCCTCTGCTCCCCAGTTCCAACTGACGTGCATCTAAGGGGACTGTCACCCCCTGGATCTTTTCATGCAGCCGGTTGAGGACATGAATGCTTCTGGGCTTGTGAGCAGCCATGCAGCCATCCAGTATAAGCTGCTATCCCAGGCTGTTGGGCTTTGCCACGTTAGCTTAAGGCAGGATGCGGAGAAGTACAGAGTAAAGGAGAGTGAGTAAACTCCTGAAGGGGGGAACTGCCCCGTCAGCCCCCAGCCAAAGTGCGCTAATTTCTCGGGCTTTTAAAGGAACTCAGAGCACTGGCCTGCAATGGATTACTGTAGAGCTAGATTTTGGCGATGGTGGGGTGGATGTTTTGGGATTGCCTTTGACCTCATGCAGAATTGCTCAGAGCACCCCGAGAGCTCTCCAGAGCAAGAATCCGCCAGTGTCTACAGCCTGGCTCCCACAAAGTTGCGCTGGTAACCAAATGCAGCAAAACTCGATGCTGCCCCTCCACACTCTCTCCCCCCCGCCCGGCCATGCAACAGCCGGGGTATGCAGTACATGAGCATTTAATTGGGGCCCAAGGTGTTGGTGGTGTGGACAGCTGGGCATCGTCCTGTTTAGGAAAGGGCGGTCTGGTCGATGCTGCATTGGCATCCTGTATCCCCGGGGGTTCTGTCTCTGCTTGTTTTGGCTGGCAGCCTTTCCGACGAGGGCCTCTGGCCTGCCCCCTCACTTGGCCGTCCTGACCTCGCGCACTGCTCTGGTCGGCGGCCCTGAGGATTCCTGGTCATTGGCCATGTCGGCGGCGGTGCATCTGGCTGGGAAAGGCTCCCGAAAAAGGAAAGGGCCGCTTTATTCCCGGCATAGGTGCATTTTGGGGGGAAATGCTCCCTCTAGCGTCTGGCTTGGTGAACAGAACCGTGTGAATCAGGCTTCACACTATACGCTCTTTCCGCTCTTGTAGGCTGATTGTGCGTCGTGGGTTGCACAAGCTCGGTTTTCGGCAAGCAGTTCCAGGTATGCAGAGGTGGGACTCAGCCTAGCCAGGCTGTTGATTGGGCCCTCTCAGCATGGGGGAACCAATTGCAGGGCAGGGAGGTGCCTGCTGATCTTGAGCTGAAAGGTGAAGGCTTCCTCCCTCGCCATGGTTCTAAAATAGAGCCTCCCTATTCCGGAGCAGTGCATCTGACAGTGCTCGGTGCTGGCTGTTGCTTCCCAGGTGCCCCAAGGTTCATGGCTTGTCCACTGGAGGAGCACAAGATGCTCACTCGGATGGTTCACTCTGATCCAGCTACATCTCTGATGTGGGCCAGGTTGAGAAGAAAACGGGACAGTTTTATAAGAGGGGGGCCTCACTTTTTGTGAACAAACCAGGAGCGGATGACGCAATGATGGCAAGAGAAAGGGAGCAAACCAGGGTGCTTCCTTGCCTGTTCCTTCCAGGAACTGTTGCTCTTTTATTCCTGGCTGTATAAGCAAATGGCCTCTGCACAAGCTTTCTCCCCTTTCATGGGTCTAGTCCTCATTGAGGTGGTTGAGCAGCCCCAGGACTTGGGCATCCTGAAGTGGGCTCTAAGTGGAATGCTTCGTCATGGCCGGCACATCCCTTGCAGCTGAAACCCTGGCAGTTCAAGGAGAAGGCATGGCCAGAAACCTTTTGAGAGGCTAGGATTTGATGTGCACTGTGCAGTCTTTCCTCTCTGACTTCATGGCGCGCCGCAAGTGCTGCCCATCCCATGGTATCAAACCACCTGAAACGTCTGGATTTCTAAGAAGTGCATTACAGTTGTCAGTGCTGTTGCAAAGCAAATGACCGTAAATAAGGCAGCTGAGTTCCAGCGTTGGCTGGGCTGCCAGTTGTAAAAGTTGGGAAAAGACCCTATTCCAGCAAGCCTTGCCTTTAGGGCTGGTGAGGTTGTAGATACCCACCCACCCCCTTTTGTCCTGGAGTGGTTACCCCGCCCTGGTCTGAAGAACGGAAACTCGGGTTTGCGCCTTCCCAGCTGGGGCAGAAGCGTTGCGATGGCCGCTGTGGGCGTTGGGGTGGACTCCCTGCAGTGGAGTTTACGAGAACGTTCCCGTCCCATCCCACTGAATGCTCTGCTGTTATCCGTGTCCATTGGTGTCACGTAGATCCTGTTCGTTCCAAGGATGTGGTTACGGAAACTGTTCTCGGAAGAAAACATCCAGTGCGGCCTCTTCCTTCACCATCTCCGCCACGGCCTAGGAACATAATCCCCAGATAACCGAGCGGCTCAAACGCATTCTGCAGAAAACGGCCAGCGGAGCGAATGCCAACCTAGCCGACTCGAAGCCAAGTTAGAGGAGGAAAAATCGGGGTCGGGGGAAGGTACTTAGGGGTGTCTCATACATAGCGGCCAAAAATGCACTAGGGGGAAGAGAGAGGGAAACCTCACTCCTCATCCCCCAGCCATTTGTGAAAGCCACCCCTTCCGATTGCCTTGCAGTCCTTGGCTCTGTGGGTCCTTGCCACGAAAGGAACATCCATCCCAGGAGGTGGTGGCGGGAGCCAAAAATATAGGGGGAAAGTCAGGAGAGGAAGTCCTGGCTTGGAGGTGGCTAAGCAAAGCAGCTGCCCTCTGCCTCCAAGAGCAATTAGCATTTGGGGTCTCCTCCTAGTGAAGGAGCAGTGCCCAGTTTGTGCTCCCTGTTGCGACAAGGCCTCAGTGTGTCTCCTTGTGAGGTGTGGGGCAGGGAGAGCGGGTTCCCCAGTGTGCTTCCATTCCTGAAGCCAAAGAATGACCCCGGCAGAGTTTGGAGTCACGGGAGGCAGCCTCCCTTGGCCACAGGGGCTGCTTGTATTCGTTTGGGCCACTCGGCGGTCTCCCATCGCCCGCACTGGCTTGCTTCCATTGAGTTTTGTACTTCGGCAATTGAGATTGTGACTTCCGTATGTACCTGGCACAGAACAAATAAAACAGTTCCATAGCAAGCGGAGCCAGTTTCTGAAATCTGTGTGAATTAGACCACCATGCAAATAATTTTCACATGTGCGAAGCAGCAAGAAGCTCCTGAAAACTCTGTTTCCCAAAACCGCCGGAAGCAGAGCCTTGAAAGCCGCCCTGGAGGCGGGCCTAGGTGGGAGAGCAAAGAGACACAGTTGTTTGTTGTACTTGTGCAAAGTGGCTTGATTTTCTTAAAAATCAAACCCCCGATTCTAGAAATGCTGAAGGTCTTGCTAGATTCTCTGCTTGTGTTCGGAACCTTGTGATTCTCATATACACTGAATGCCTGTCCCTACTGGGAGAGCCCAACCCTTCACAGGTCTCGCCCATCTGCTTATGGCGATGGTTTCACTGCCTTGACGTTGCTACGGCTTCTGCCGCTTCTTTTAAAGCAGCTGTTGTAACGGTGCAATATAAAATTCTGCCTTTGCACAGAATTATAGGTGGTCAGCATTTAAAAGTGCTTCCAACAGATGTGCTTTTCACCTTTACGAAAGATCATAACATGGAGTGGCTTCTGACTATCTATTTGCATGTGTGCTCCCCCCCCCCCCCGCACCCCCGGCTGCCTTTGCATCATATCATTTGTGAACAACAGTACCAAAATAGAGCTTGAAATGCATCAGGCTGAATGCAGTCTTTTGCTTACTCATAGTTCAGAAGGTATTGGGTTTTTTTCTTTCTCAGAAGTGTCTCCTGCAGCGTGGAGGGAAGAACATCTCCAAATCGCCTCTTCCTAGGAAAACGGCGTAGATCTTAAGTGGAGTTTGTGTGAGAGACACAGTCTATAATCACTTACCTAGAAGATAGTTCAGAGTCCATCTGCCTCCTGTCGGTCAACCTAGACTTGTTCAGCAGCACTTGTACAAACGTCTGAAGCATGTGAAATTCTGATTATCTGCTTTCTTTCACTTTTGTAAGATCTGGAACTTGGCCAATTGAAAGCTGACTATACAGAGATCTTCCAGATCACCTAAACAGATCTGATGCTCTAAATTCTGCAGAGGAGTTGCTGGCAGATCGCCACAAGCTCATACCTCTTGTGAATCAAACAGGAGTTTGCAGAACTTTCAGTCCCATCCCATCTTTGATCTTGGTTCCAGTTCAGGGACTTGTTCCGACGTAATAGCCTTTTCTCCCTTTCATATTCGAATCATGGAATAGAAAAGGATCTTTAAGGGTCACCTAGTCCATCCCTCCAGTGATGCAGGAAATCTATTGCAGAATCCCCCAAAAGGAAAAGTGTCTTGCCTCTTCCCAAAATAGTCAGTTCCATTTTTGAATGGCTTGTCCTGTCAGGAAGATCTTCCCAATGTGCCATGGAAACCATCTGTGGAAGCGTAACAGGGCGGATTTGGCCTCCATACCAAAGCTTCTGCCCCTCTTGCATAACAAATACATTTTCACAGCTTTCCTCAATAAAAGTCCTGAGGGCCATTGGTGTTTGTATGCAGTATATTACAAGACCTTTTCTGGGAGTGGGGGTGGGGGGATAGCAAAGCAACCACTGTGATGGGAACATAGGATGAACGTGTGTCATTTGGGCAGAAGAAACTCTCCTTGCTCTGTCCCAGTTCTGGAACCCATACTATGAGCCCTGTCCCAGGTCTGTGTGTGGCTTGTTCAAATGAGCGTGGGACGTGCAATCAAACCAACAGCTGTTTGCAACATGGCGTGTTCCTCGTCGTACTCTTGCAGTCCCTCTCCCTTCTGTCTTCCTCATCGGCCCGGTTCAGCCAGCGTTCGACGGCCACCGAACTTCCTCAGTCTTCCTCAGGCTCTTTTGGGATTCTCTGCTTTGAGGGATTTTTTTTAATAAAAACAAAACCCGATGCACACCGTGTGCACAGACGTCACTGATGTGATTGCATAAGCAACAGCACATAAAAAAATAGAGTGCTTTAATTCCCTTTATGAGGCTTACTGGTAGAAGACCAACCGGTAAAATTTACTCTGTTTTGACAGGTGAGGTGTTGGGTTGGATCCAAACTTGTTCTTACTGAGATTCATGAAGCTCAGCTGGTCCCATTGACTTCACTGGATCTATTCAGTAGAACCAACCCTCTGAATGTTTTTTTTTTAATCATCTGCTTATTTTGCGTCCTCTGCTGTGTTTTCTCTGCTGTGTAAACCTGAGGGCAGGGCCTGGCATCCTTTAACTGTTTGAAGGGTGCGATTCAAATCGAGCTTTTAAAAAGTGCTTCCAGGACTGATGTTAGCTCAGGCCTCGTGGGTGGGCAGTCCTGTGGCCTTCCAGGTTTTGTTTTGGCCTGCAGCTCCCATCAGGTGTAGCCAACCTGATCAATGGCAGAGGATGACAGGAACTGAGGGCCAGGATGTTTGGAGGTCTGCAGGTTGCTCACCCCCTGCAGGAAGCTCTAGATTCTAAGAATGTGTCCTGTGTTCTCATGAGGATTGAGCTTTTCGTGGCGAAAGGAGTGTGTTGCCGGAGGATTCCCATCATCTTACAGATTTTTCCAGGCCTTGTTCCCCATCAAGGAGCTTGCAATCCAAACAGCCCAGCCTGGTGGGAGCTTTTTCTTCCACAGTGTGATAAACACTGAGCCAAAACCAGGATGTTTAACCTTCACCCTGACATTTAAGTTTTGACGCTGAGACATTTATCAGTCAGTAACATTCTGTTCTGGCATTTTTAAACATCTCCTTGTCCTGGAAAGCTAGTGATAAAGTAGGAGGAAATAACCATTGACTGGTATCTGGACTTCAGTGAACCAAGGGTGATGGCTCTGAATGTTGCTAGAAAAGGCAGTGCCTTTTTCTTTGAAAATAACTTGAGGATAAGTCGACTTAATATAGTCGGAGCTTGGGTTGGTTGATTTGGTCATACAAACTGGAACTCTGTTCCAAAGGAGGTGATGGGAGGGTTTAGGTGAGCAGTGAAATGTCTTTATTATATGTGGTTTTTGACAGTTTTTAATAAATAGTTTTTACTTTGTTCCTGGTTGACGTTAAGAATTGAATCTTAGTCCCGCATGCATACTGAAATAGCCCTCTCTCCCTGCTTTTGTCCTATGCTATTCAAAAGTAATGCTTGCTGATCGGAACCATTTTCAGAACATTTTTACATTAGCTTGTTGCAGCACAAACCAGTCTTGTGGCACCTGAAAGAGGAACAACTCTTTCAGAAAGCCTGCCCTCCAACTCTATCACTGACTTCAAAGTCTTTAATTAAAGAATTAAACTCTATTGCCAGAGGAGTCAATCAAGATAACAGATTTTTCTGCCCTGTGTCTTAATAGCTAATGGCAAGAAGCTTCCGTTACCCACAACACTTGGACCAGAATTTTCCACTGTTAATTGTCACTCTCCTGTAAAAAGTTAAATTCCAGATTGATTCCTTGTCTTGAGGCACCCAAAGATTAATATCTTTGTTGGGGGATAAATTGCTGAGGACTGACGCTCTCTTCGTCAGTTGCATGAGTTGCTATCCTCAATACAGATGCATACAGTTGGCCGAAACAAGTGCAAGCATACGTCCATGATTGTTGTTATATAATCCAATGTATGGCTGTGAAAGCTGGACCATAAGGAAGGCTGAGCGCCAAAGAATTGAAGCCTTTGAATTGTGGTGCTGGAGGAGACTCCTGCGAGTCCCTTGGACAGCAAGGCAATCAACCGGTCAGTCCTAGAGGAGATCGACCCTGACTGCTCTTTAGAAGGCCAGATCCTGAAGATGAAACTCAAATACTTTGGCCACCTAATGAGAAGGAAGGACTCCCTGGAGAAGACTCTGATGCTGGGAACAATAGAGGGCAAAAGAAGAAGGGGACGGCAGAGGATGAGGTGGCTGGATGGGGTCACTGAAGCAGTCGGCATGAGCTTAGGTGGACTCCGGGGGAAGGTGGGGGACAGGAAGGCCTGGAGGAATGTTGTCCATGGGGTTGCGATGGGTCGGACACGACTTCGCGACTAACAACAACAATCCACAGTTGTATTATGTAAAGTTTATAAAGAAGTGCAACATCTGGGCCGTTCACAACAGCTAGAACATGTCTTATGAAATGATCTTCTCAGCTGTTTAATACTAATTTAATACCTGTAGCAGCAGACAAAGCTATGGTCTGAAAGAAACAGAATCGGAATTATTGGTACATCCCAGAACAACCTCAAAAACCGTTTTTTTAAAGCCAGTGCATTTTCCACAAGCCCCATAAAAGGGAGGTTGCAGGTTTGTTCTTGCTTTGAAGATCATTACTGTTTCAGAAAGCAATTCTTATCTGCCTTTTTTAGTTAATGATACTTTAGTAAATAATTCTAATTAGTAAATATTTGGCTATTTTTGGAGGCAACGCATGGAAGGAAGCTTGAAGTCTGTTTGCTTGCTGCCTCTTCAGTGCTTCTCCCTGTCAGCTAGCAAAAATGTTTTTGGCAGAGAAAGAAGTGTCAAAATGCTTCTTCAAAGATTCCAAGTTCCCTGGTTTGTTTTCAAGCTGTAAAGAAAGTTTCTGGCAAACAGATGGCCCAGGCAGCCTTGGCAAGAGAGGAGGTTGTCCCAGCCGCAGACAAAAGAAGCTGCATCGGATTTTCATAAAGGACAGGCATGGAGCAAGGGAATCCTGCAGGCCGTGTGCCATTTGGCACTATGAATGCCTACTTCCTACGGCAATGGAACTGCTACGTACGGGAAAGAATTTCCCAGGAATCTCCTAATTTTGTGTTTTAAATCTTTAGGAAACAAAGGGTTGAGTAGAGAAGCCAGGACTGCCCTGTTTCCTGCCTTTAGCAAAACACCCCCTCAACTATTTATTTATTTTATTATTATTTATTAAAACATGTTTATGCCGCCCCATTCGCCGAAGCCTCGGGGCAGCTTACAACACTAAGCTAAAATAATTATAATATAAATCAAAAATATAAATATTAAATTAAAAATACAAAAGTACAGTATAAAATAAGCCGTTGCAAGACCAGCGAGGCCAATTGAGTGCAAGAAGAGCTCCTCTCTGCATTGCAAGCGGCCCTTAGGAACACGAGGGACACAGATTGAAAGCATATCGCACGCACCTGTGTTTTGTCAATTTCGCTCGGGCGGAAAATGGTTGCCATAGCTACCAACCCGCATCACCTGAGCTCCCATCCAATATTCCCACCTTTGTCTCTGACACAGACCTCTGTGCATTAAGGCCAAGTTTCTACATATGGTATATCCTGGTAGGAATGGGGCGATGAGAGTCATTCTGACTTTGGTTCCAACTTCCCTGAGCTTCGAATCAAACGGAAATAAGATTCCATCCCGTTCTAAAGAAGCATCACTTAATTTCTCTGCAGTTGTTTCTTCCCAGCTTTGCTTGTCCGGAAGGGATATAGGCAAGTCATTAAAGTATTAAACATCAGTACAGTTTCTGGATTAACAGGGGGGGACCCACAGAAATTGCATAAACTTAGGGCCACCCCCTTGCTGAAATAAATCTTAAATGGATTCACTGTGCAAGTTTCAGTCAATGAAATTCATGTAGCTTTGCATAGGGTGGGAAGCATCTTTGTTTTTAGGTAATGTTGGCATTTGGCATAGCTGGGTTCATCCCCAACCAAACACATTATTTCTGCTCTGGTATCCTGACTCTGGCTGCCTCCTGCCAGCTCCTTCTGGGACTTCCAGACAGTATATACGGGCAGATAAGCTAATTCGCTAGTCCATGGGCTTCCGCAGAGATGAACCATCATCGGTTCTTTCTGATCTGTCACCCTACAGCAAACGTTTCCAGCTCTTTCAGAACTGGTGGTGGAATATGCTGCTGTCACCCTTTTTTTTCCTCTGCCCTCCTCATCTGGTTTTCCTTTTCTGCCAGATTGGAAATGGGTACCCAGGGGCTTCTAATGGGTGCTTTTCACTGGTCTTGCAGCCTTTTCAGCACAATAAAGCGGCTGTAGGTGATGGATACTGTGTGCGAAGTCTAGGAGTGGGACTTGATCTTTGGGACTTGAAATTCCATCAGCCCCAGCCAGCACAGCCCAAAGGTCAGGAATCCTGGGAGGGGCAACCCAGGAGGGGAGCAGCTTGGGAAAGGGTTCTTTGGGTCAACTCCTTGCTTGACATCCTTGATGGGAGAGCCGAACGCTCCCCGAAGGAAGGTTTTGTCTTAAAGATGCTTCCGCTAATGGCCAACCAAAATGTACCTGCCCGTGTCCCCTCGGTCTCCTCCTGCCACTCGGTTGTGAGGGTTGCCGGGTGATCTTGCACGGTCCATCTCTGCAGGGTTGCTGTGAAGGAACGCAAGGGAGGCCCACGGGGCCCACCGGAAGAACTGGGACTGTTTCACCTTGAGAAGAGAAGGCAAGGCTTTCCCCTGTCCTGTGATGTTTGCTGTTCCGCCATTTTAATGTTGCAAACCTCCTTGAGGTTCTTTTAGAAGGCATGGCGGTGTAGCGAGGTTTTCAATAAGCAAGCAGGGCTGCCAGGCAGAGGAGGGCCCGCGACTCCTCTCCCTCATCCGGGAGGGCAGGGCAGGGCAGGGAACAGCGGGCTCGGGGCCAAACCCCCGCTGCATCGCAGGCAGGACCGTGCAGCCCGTGACCTGTGGAGCTGGCGGGCTCTGCCACCCTGGCGGTGCTACAAGATGCGGCCGGACAGCCCTCCGTCGGGGATGCTGGGCCTTGGGGTCCTGACTCCGGCAGGGGGGAGGACCCCCCCACCGCTTTGGGGGCTCGTCCCTGTGATTCTGCTGCGAGAGACGAGCCCGAGCGCTCGGCGGGGCGGTGCGGAGGGGGGAGCGCCGGCTAGCCGCGAAAGCAGCGCCGCCCCGAAAAGCACTCTGTCCATGCTCGGGAGCCCCCGCCCGCAGCAGGGCCCTGCCCGCTCACGGCCCCGCGCCTCCCGGCACGAGCGCGCATTGTTGCCCCACAATCCCCCCCCACACCCGCCCGGGAGGCGGCCCGGCCCGCGTGACGTCAGCGCGGGGGCGGCGCGAGGCGGGCTGCGCGCGCGGCTGGCGGGGCGCCCTCGCGCGTGCGAGTCCCGGGCAGCGCGCGCGGCCTCTCCGGGGCCAATAATGCACCCCGCGGGCACGCGCCGAGCCGCG